CAAAATCTAATTACACCCCTAACATCCATTAACAAGCCATGTAACGAAAATAAATCCGTCTCCCCAAAAATATCTCTGACTCCTTCTCTCTGTACTATGTCTTGCTATGTCCCGGCTTTTCTTTTGTTTCTAGATATTGCAGAACCTACAAAAAAAGCGCACTGAGCGGAGGGGGCGCCTAAGCTCTGACAATATGAATAAAAAGAAGTCCGGTTTCAGCAAAAGCGACCTTATTTTTAAGGTAACCCGCCCTCACCGAGGATAAGCGCAAAGGCTCACTCTCCTCCGCTGTTTAAATAATTAGTAACAACTTAAATCTGTGATAAATTCTGTGCCATGTGCGTGGAAAACTCGATGGAAAGGACCCCATCTACATCCATATATCCCTGGAGACAAGGGATATCTATATCTATGTCTCATCCATTTATACTTTTTTTTTATCACTGTCGCACTAACTCTCCCGGTGTCGAGTTTAATTTAACCTCGGAATATTACGTATTGTATTACGACTCTCTGTCCTAGAGGCTCAATTACAATTCTGTAATTTTCGAGAATGTCAATATCCAAATGAGCAATAGTTCATTTTCTTCAATCGATTTCAGTGTTTACGCAACATTTCAAAAATCTACTTGACTCCTTTCGACCCATTCTGCCCCGATATTTTCCATACTCTGAAAAATAACAATAATAATTTTGCAATATTGAAAGTTTTAAAAATATTTTAAAGGCAAATGGAGCAGAACGGGTCGTTTTAATTGCCGATTTTGTCCGATTCTAGGCGTTACCTTTAATTTTCATACTCCTCATGATTCTTCTCACAATTGTAATGCAGGGATATGTAAATTTTCATTGGTCTCTGGGTCCCATCGACGTTTTCCTGAATCAGGATAATTTAGCGAATAGTGGAGGGAGGAGCTGCACGCTGATTGGATCGTTGGTTTATACTTACAAGACGTTCGCTTAATTATTCCTTCCGCCGCCTTTCTTTTTGACAAGTTATTTTGATTATTTTGGTATTATCGTTGTACCCGCAGCGATAGGCTACTTTTGGGCTTCAGATAAATGATGGGAAAGAACTCAGTTAAAATCGTTATAACACTAAGTTCTTTTACACATCCGCCTAGCGATGGAAAGTATGTTGAGCTCATAAAAGCGCCCCCGTACAGTAGCTTTAGTCCTCGATTTTGTACCAGATCCGACACCAATCGAGTGATGAATCGATGAGTTCATTCCAATATTCTTCGTGATTATGCAATTATCTCAGCATAAAAGGATACCGAACAAGCTACTCAAATCGTCAACTCTCAAATCAACTCTCCACCGATCCTCTGGCATTTTTATTCATTTCCCAATGAATGACAGTATGGATTGTTCACTTCAGCAATTGAATGGCCAGATAGCAGGTGCCAGATGTCCTGATGCGATCTTAAGGATTGAATTAGCACAGATATGAAGAGATGTTCAGTGGTCGAGATAATCAAATAATCACGAGAAGAAAAAAATGAACTCATCCACCTCCACTCAATTCCTCCACTCCAATAATTTCTGTATCATTTCACTCCTCTCTACTTCCATCTGTACTCTCCACTCTGCATAAAAATTCTTTCAGCAAAATATTGCCGCCTGAAAGAGCTTTTTCTCTCACCATGTCTCCTCTAGAGTCCACCGACAAGCGATGCATAAAAAAACTTGGCTTTTGATCGCTAGACGGTGCAGTACAGGATTTGACTCTCGATGCAGCGCACGTAATTTGGGTGTCCCTCCTCTGTCGCTTGAGCCGTTGAAGAATAAAGTTGCTATAATTCTCCACGAACATGAATATATTAAAAATAAATAAGCCCCAATTGTTGAGAACCAGCGTAGATGATGCATTAGAAGCTGAAGGATTGTTTGATTAAGTATTTGAAAAAAAAAATCACCATTCGACGAATGTGTGTAGCTGCAGTTGAATTATTTGTCAACACCTTGATTTATTGTGTGTCGTAAATCCTTCGTATGCACATCCTGCACGAGCTTGTGTTGCTGCATGCACTTTGGCAGGGATTAAAAGTTCTTGACGATTAATCTCTTATTTGTGCCTTATTGATGAAAAATTTGAAGTTGCTCTTCGCTTGTCAGCCATCGTCTGAATGATTAAATACATTTGACCATTTTCTTTAAATCCGTGATTGTTTCAAATTTATTAATTCTCTTGAATTCTCTATTTTGTTATTGCTATCTGTTCCATTACATTTTTAAAAAGTTGAGTTAACTTTATTGTTTTCGTTAGTTTGAGTGCTTATAATGAGGATGATGTTCTATTTCATCTCTATTTAAGTGAACAATTCATTGAGAAACTCTCGCTCACACGACTCGCGATTGATATGTCTCGTAGATCAAAGTTTTTTCAACATTTTAAATCACACGAGGTTCAATAGATATTTTTCGTGAGGATTTTCGCCTTATCTGGCCATTGGGCGATCATTGAGTATTTTCATATATTTCGTACCCCCGGTTTATGTCATTTTTCCCACTCCTCGTGACTTCTTGCGTTTTGTCGTAAATAGTTAGTTCAGGTAATGTTATCTTTGTGGAGATGTTTGTGGTTTTTACTAGAAAATTTAAGAGGAATATTTAAGTTTATATGGACTTATGGTCCAGTAGAATTGAATATATTTTCTCTTGTTTGTTATTCAGCGGAGAATTAGTGAAACGTAAAGGCTCAAAAGTTGTTACCCGAAGAGGATGTTATAAATTATCAAAAATCATCACGTTTCATCGTTTCTCTGCTGAATTCCCAATAAATTCTACTCTAGATCGCCAATAATTTCGTAGTGAAGCGCTAAAGTAGGCAAGTCTTTCAAAAATATCTCCGAAACTAAGGCAGATCGCGAAATTTGAGTTATAACTTTTTTCGTGGCTTTTCAAAAGCTCTGAAAAAAAGATGAGGACAAAAAATGCTCTATCTCCCTTGGTTTAGTAGATATTTGCGAAAATGCTAAAAGATCCGAGTCCACTTATAATTTCACTACGAAATTCATCGATAAATCATCAATTGCACGTCAAACCTCTGAAATATCTCGATAAAAAGACAATTTTCGGGTGTTGTCTGGCTTGCAATAACAAAGGAGTTTGCAACATTTGAGGGCAAATATTGGCCAGTGACAATCGAGCTAAATGGGTTTGTCGTACACAATGCGTCACACTGGACCCCCCTAAAAGCTGGGAGTACAGAGTTTCGCTGAATCACTCATACCTCATGCCTGTGTACATCCCAAACCTCCTGTATGTGCGCGTGACCAAACTCTGACCCCTGTACGAGATCACAACTGGGCTGTAATTGGATCACGCACCCAGGTGTATTAATACATTGAAGCACTCGACATCATCAAATGATACCCTCCATTCAATCCAATTTATCAATTTTGCGTTCAGGAATTTCCTGGTATCGTTGATCAAACCCATGTGTCCTGATGAGATAAATAATATTGCTGTGAGCTCAGTAGATTGATTACCACATTTGTCTCTCGTTATGCTATCGGCTGTTATATTATTTGGCTTTTGTGGATTTAACTGTCGCATATTTGTGGTGTTTTTCGTTTCAAATTAGCGTGACCTCGCTTTGTTAGTCTGTTTGTTTTCAATGAAAAACCTATCAAACGATTGATAGGTTTTTTATTTGAAATTAATGAGGCGTTTAGCCCTGAGTGCTCCTTGCGCCCTGTTTTAATTCTATCTGTCATCAGGTGGGTGAACTCTGTCTCTCTTTTTTCATCATCTACTAATTGTCTCAATCATTGGCATATCTAATTTAATTATAATTATCATTTTACACATCAAGTTTCGTCAATATCATTGATGTTATTATTATGACTACTTGAGATTGTACGTCTGCGGCATTTTCACAAAATAGAATTTGTTTTTTTTATAATGAAAATATTTTCTCCTGTTTTCTCTGGAATTATTCAACAATATGATTTCACCCAACGGATTGATAGAGCCATATATTACAGAACGCACGGAAAGGATAAAGCTGCACCGGCGCACACAGGGTCGCCCCCGCATTTCAGAATTTCATAACCGCCCATTGCCAAGAGATTGATTTTTCGTGGCCGCTGCTTGAAAGCATACAATGTAGTTATATACCTCTATACATGGCGTTATACCTGAATTTAAAATCCCTTACCATCTCAGCCCCTGGCCCCAAAGTATTTCCTCCTGTCCTCCCGTCCTGCTCCACTTATATTTTTTTCACCTTTACTTTCTTGTTGGAGTTTAGACGCTCGCTAAAAATGCAGCATGATTGTTCTTTTATTTTGGACATCATTGTTGTGTAAACAACTGTGAAAGCCCCAAGGATTTTATTAGATCTGTAATTCAGAGCTGGGTAAAACGATTCTGGTTTTCAGGTGTTTTATTTTTTGTATTCGTCAGTTTTATGTCTTACCAAAGATCGAACAATATAGGTGAATAGGCAATAAATACTGCATATTGTCGTTTAATTAATGGAGAGAAAGCAGCGGAGAGGTAAAGCGATTTCTAATAACTGTAAAAATAGGAGTCGATTTGGGGAGTGTTACCTCCTCGCTACTGCAGTAATTAGCATTGATTTTATGAAATTGTAGGACATTAAAGTAGTAATTTGGAATAGTATCTAGTGTTATTACCCAGCTCTGCTCCATGTTGCTTGATGTGTTCCACGGATTTCTTGATTTACGTTGCGACCCCATTAATCTCCCTATATTTGACATTTAAGTGTGTTAGCTACGAAGTAGCCGATGTTGGGTCCCAGGACTCTCTCAATCACTATTAATCTGATTTTTAAATGTTGAAGTATATTTATTTTGCGTACTTACACCCTCGCTTATTTGCTGTACACAATCCGCCAATGAAGCTTTCGACGACCCCAAAGTTTAGGGGGTGAATTACTATTCCCTGTGGAGAAAAATGTCTTTAATGAACGGTAAACTCTACCGTTGGGTCAATGTCGTGGGGTTAATGTTGATTTTTGCTGTTGGCAGTTCCTGAATATGGCATCGGTGTTCATGAGGATATTCAATCTGATCTGCATGATGCTACTGATTGGCCATTGGAGTGGGTGTCTACAGTTTCTTGTACCTATGCTCCAGGGATTTCCTAGCAACTCCTGGGTTGCTATCAATGAATTGCAGGTTTGTTAATTATTATCTAGAAACGGTCTGTCACTCTTATTTTATTCTGAAATCAATTGAAGAATTTTCAAAGATCTTACTTTTATGTAGCAAATATAAGGTATATAAGCTAACTATATTTATAAATTCTCGATGAATACAAAATTTAATGTAATTTACCACTGAATATTCACGTTATGATGGAAAATGAGAGTGACAAATTAACAAAAATATTGAATGAATAATTGATAAAATATTGACAGGAAGCCTTTTGGCTGGAGCAATACTCTTGGGCGCTGTTCAAAGCGATGTCCCACATGTTGTGCATCGGTTACGGGAGGTTTCCACCCCAATCACTGACCGACATGTGGCTGACAATGCTGAGCATGATAAGTGGTGCAACGTGTTACGCTCTCTTCCTGGGTCACGCAACAAATCTCATTCAATCTCTCGACTCATCTAGAAGACAGTATCGCGAAAAGGTCAAGCAGGTTGAAGAGTACATGGCATATAGAAAACTGCCTCGTGAGATGCGTCAAAGGATCACGGAGTACTTTGAGCACAGATACCAGGGTAAATTCTTCGACGAAGAGCTCATCCTGGGTGAACTATCTGAAAAGTTGCGGGAGGTAAGAATAGGATTGCTATTAAGCTCAACACAAAGATGAATAACGTATTTCTCACTGTAAAAACTTCTCGACATTGTTGATTAACGTGAGTTTGAAATCCCCTCTAGGATGTGATAAACTATAACTGTAGGTCGCTGGTGGCATCTGTGCCATTTTTTGCCAACGCCGACTCAAACTTTGTCTCGGACGTCGTCACAAAGTTGCGATACGAAGTCTTCCAGCCAGGTATTCAAACACATTTAATTCAACGATTAAGGGTAGTAAAGAGATGATCCAATACTTGTGAATAACTTCCCCGGCGTCTTTTCATGCCTATTAATTATTGAATTGTCTCGTTAAGCAGCTGTTTAATGTATTCTCTGAACTTTTCATTGAATAGTAATTTCTCTCCAGGTGACATCATCATAAAAGAGGGCACAATAGGTTCAAAAATGTATTTCATCCAAGAGGGTATTGTCGACATAGTAATGGCAAATGGTGAAGTAGCCACATCCCTATCTGATGGCTCGTACTTCGGTGAAATTTGCCTCCTAACAAATGCAAGACGAGTGGCATCAGTCAGAGCTGAGACTTACTGCAATCTTTTTAGCCTCTCGGTGGACCATTTTAACGCAGTACTCGACCAATATCCCTTAATGCGGAGAACAATGGAGAGCGTTGCCGCCGAGAGGTATAAACTTTGGTTAGGTTTGTTCTATCGAGTTGGTGTGCTAATAGATGTCGATTCACCGAACCCTCCTTCCCGTCATAACGAAATTTCTTCTATCAAATTGTTTTTATCATTCTTTTTTTATCCATTGTTCTATCTCTACTAAATTTCATCATGTCTTCAGACATTGTTTCGAGGGTTTCAGTCATTGTGCGTCGACTCTGCTTCGCTTGCGACTCGATCTATCTTTTAAGATAGGTAGATAATTGGAGAAAATCGTCTAGCGTTCAATTACTCAAATTTTTTTTAAATAATGAAAAATTACAGCCTGTCTTCGCCGAGACAAACAATACAGTTGAGAAAGGAAAAAATTCAAGATTTCAACACTAAACGATTCACTCCACTAGATGTTTTATAATATTAAAAGATTGATGAGCCGCTAAACCGCTCTGCTATCTTTTCTTTAATCAGCCGGGTTAATTACACCCTTTTAATTACTTCATTGAGTTCCAAGATTTATTATGGAAAAATACTGGGTGATTAAGTACCAAGAGGGAAATGACAGATTGAAGATGAGTATCACTGAATATTTCAATATTTTAACTCTGCATAATCAATCGTATTGTCTTGGCAAGTCAATAGGCGCAAGCATTTGCCTGCTCTTCACACTCAGCGCTAAGCTCACAGCTGCCAGCAATAGAGCGATCTGTTAAACATATATTTAATCATCTAAATGTGATTTAATCAGTGTCTATGAATCAATGTAGTTGCTGATAATTTCAATTATTGATTATAATTATCCTGTCTCTCTTGGCCCGGACGATTAAGTGCTTAGAATACATTCGACATCTTCGTTTCTTCGAAGATGGTTGAATGCATTCCCTTCTAATCATGCATAACTACTGTGACAAAGGGTCTTTCGTTTTTATTGAACCACTGGTCTATCATTATGGAAAACTCTGGCGGGAATAATCAAGCAACTTGTCTATTTTTTCGGGTGACATGTGAGGTAATACGCATTCTGTTGCTGAATATCCTGCGAGGGTTTTCATGGTCAACTGATAATAATCGTTGGTTGTGTCCATTGCGACATTCCCTACGCTTAATACTCATTTCCTCGCAGGCTGAACAAAATTGGAAAGAATCCGAATCTCGTGGGAAATAGGGAGGAGGACCTTGGCAGTGAATCAAAGACGATAAATGCTGTCGTTAATGCATTAGCGGAGCAAGCTGCGCACGCTAGTGTCAGCGAGGAATCGGTAAATTGAGTTGAATGAGTTTTTTTATTTCTCTCGTTATCTTTGTAATTGTGAAGGAGGTTCGCAGGAGTATTATTCAGGTGTCCAATACAGTTGAAGGCAATTTAAGTTGTTGATAAAGTCAATAATTTAAATCAGATAGCCTCTGAGATTTAATGCACCTGAATGAGAATTTTTTTAAAGAATCTCAACATCTCCTGCACCTCCGCTATTAAAAATTGCTTGAAGTCTATTGAAACAATCACAAAGTCATTTGAATTTTCAATTATATGAGTTTGAATGCAATTTCAATTAAAAACTATCACTCAATTTCTTATTTATCTTGGAAATAATAAAAAAATGTGTTTTTCATGTTAAATGATAATTTCATCCTCATCGTGAAACATTGGTTTTGTCTCAGTGTCAATATCATATAGACCTAAAAATGGAGAATGACCAGAGTTTTGAAAAATTAACTAATTTATGAATGAAGAATTATGTAGAAATTTCATGTAACTTTCCAACAGTGTAGAGTAATGTTATAATAAATTAGATCTAGTATGCTGAAATGCAGTGAAATTTGCAGGTGCACAGTCTTGAGCTCCGTGCCCTCCCGACATGCCTCCTACCTCGGCCAAAATCAGAGAATAATTTCGCCAGTCAGGAATTGACGAGGGAGGGCCGACGAATCTTCCACAAGAGCGATACCTTCCACAAGGATTCGTATCAATGACGACACTCGTCCTATTAGCACGCGCAGCGTTACTGAAAGAATATACAATGTACATCCGTGGAGTATTAATCACAGTATTGCCCAGCTGTACCACCCACACGTAAGCATCAAACACTCATCATTAATGCTCTCTCAAGATGCCATAGGAATTCCACGTGTGCATCCACGGAGCAATCACATTGAAAATTCTCCAAAATCATGAAAATGTTTAATAGGACGTATGGACAATGCGCGCGCACCAATCAATTTCGTAATAAAAATAAAACAATAAAAGTTGGAACGACCCGAAAGGGACCCGAGGACTATGTTAACTTGTTGAGAGTCCTCTGGGTCGTGGAATCGGCTAACAAGGAAACAGTGCGGGAGAGAATAAAACGCTATCTTTTTACGAGATTAGCAAAGAAGTAATTCATGAATTAAAAAAAAACGCGGTGTACTGTAAAGAGATTCAAATACTATATAAATAATGAGAGAAATAAATTATTGCGATGAATCACTACCATTGCCGCATTATTAGGAAGTTGAGAGATTATATTAAATGCAGGTGGATTACAAAAAATAGATATTTAATAGTGAAATGCTATCGAGGACGTTATGCAATATTGCAGATTTTAATTATTGTAATGAAATGATAAGTTTATGAATGCAGGGTTGATAAGTATATTTAAATTGCACTAATTTGATTAAATTTTACTATTTTCGAGGAGAAAATTCATTTACGCGAGTTGCGACGATCATGATTTTGAGGATAAATTAAAAACGAATTTGGTAAATTTGGTTTTCCCCTTTTTCCAGTTGTTGATAAGCTACAGATAATATATCAGTTGGAATTGTTCATGATTTTGAATTATTAGTGAGTGCCTAGAGAATTGATGATGCAATGAATTATAATTTTGTAGCCCAAACAAATCTAGCTAAAAGTCAATGAAATAAATTGAGATTACCGGTCAATCTCCAATTTAAATAAAAAGCATGAGTAACTATGCATATATGTAAATATGAATAAATTACAGTCGCTGTAGGAGTGACACGTGAAACACGCAATTGAAACTAGGTATTCACGAGAATAAAATGATGAATAAGAAAAATATCGCGTAATGCTCGTAAGCATTTAACACCACGAGACACAAGTGAAAGATAATTAATAACAGAATGCGAGAAATAAATGAATTAAACTATTTTTTTTGTCGGAGAACAATGTAGCATTTATCCAGCCCCTTGCGTTGCGCTCTACGAATTACCTCGTGACGTTTGCTTATTCCGTTGAGAAGCAATATTTTAATGATGAATTATTGAATGATGAAATACAATTGTAAAACAATATACAGACCTTTACTATTAACGAGAAAAACAGCTGTTGCCATTGCTATTTTAAATTGTGAGTGAGAGGATGAAATTTATGACAAGTTAATTCAGTATTTGAATAATTGAATAGTTTATTGTTGAATGATTATCAGGGAGTTTCGTTGATGATGTGAGTGTTATGCTGATGAAATAGGGGAATTTAATCGTTGACATTTTATTCGTTTTTATGTTCAATGTTTACGTGATATGGAGTTGTGAGAGGATAATATTTCATTTTTTTTTTGTAAGGGAACTTGTTGAATTGAGGGGCGAGACCGGATGGCGAATTGAGGATCGTCTTGTTAAAAGAAATAATCAAAATTGATATTGAAGTGACTCGTGAGCCAAGAGTGACTACAGTGCAATCACTAAATTCTAGCAATGACAAACAGCCATTATTTTTCTTCTCTCTCGAATGAAACCCCTTGAGCATATCAGAGCAGTTCTACTCGATACAATACGCCGTTCAATCAATTGTTTAAGAGTAAGGTTTAAAGAGGATTTATAAGCCGAGTTGTTGGAGGTATGAAACCGGAACGCTGCAGATGAGTATAGCTCGCGAGATTGCCCTAAGCCAGTCCCAGACCACCCCCACGGGCCATTATTTCCGTTTCCGATTTCACGGATCATGCGTAGGTATTACGATTATTAATTGAGTGAAAACAACAGAGGTGTGTGATATTCTGGGTAGAATAATCCTGGGGATGGGAAAGTCGAGTCTTAGTTGGATAATCTTTAGATCATAATTACAAGGTGTAGGTGTGATGTGCGGGATTACTGTTCATGAGGAAGTTTCTGCAATCAGAATATTTTTGGAATTTCAATTAATTTATTTTCTATTCGTCTAAAATTATCGAAAAAAATCTTTCGTCGAAGAATTTAATTTCTTTATTTGCTAACAATCATTTTTATCGTTTTTCATTGTAATTCATGCCGTGAGCACTTCTTCTTGTTAATTCTTATCATTCAATCTTGAAAAGATGATTCTGAACATATGGATCCGTATAGAAAAAACAATCCTGTTTTTTTTTAATGAAAATAAAATTGTAGGACATTAAATCGTATACGAGGCGGAAATAAAAAGAAAATTGAGAAAAGACAATTAACAATTCACATTATTCATGTGAATCTTGTTACATTGCATTCTACTCGAAAAAAAATAAGCAAAGTGAACAATTCAATTTGTGCTTTTCATCACAGACTATTCACAAGTCTTGTGATCATTTCAGGATCATTATGGTCAGATTCTATTTTATCACAATGATTCTTCAAGATTAACTTGCCGAGGACCATCTGCACCAGAACTGACTGACGTGCAGGTCTCTCTTAATTATCAATAAATATTTTCTATTTCCGCAAGACCATCAACGGATGACACACGTCACATTAAACTCTCCCGAGATTCTAACACCCAAAAATAAATTTAATTGCATAAACTGCCGCACAGGAATATCTTCAATAAATTGGCGGTGTGTCTCCCAACGAAAATAAAATCAAGCGTCTGCGAACTCTCATCACCTCTCCTTTACATATTCTTTGGGCTCTTAATTTTTCATGTGTTAGAGACATGAAAGTAAAAGAAGGGATAATCAAGCTTGGCTGAATCTTCCACGTTGACATATTTTCTAAAATAGTAATCTCACACGTGCCATAGTGTCACCATGAGGTTCGCGAGCTGAAATGAACGGCAGCAGCAAGTGTTCCAAGTTGACCCCAACCGTAGCTTCCAATTCCAGAAATATTTGAAAATCCTCAGTTAACTTGTAGTCTTTCGCGATTTGATGAGTAGGGACTGTTGTTCATTTGAAGTTAATGGAATTTCGTTCCTTTGGGTATCCAGAGCGGGTGGATCACGACACCCTGTAAGAACTATTTTTATATTCTCAGCTGAACTTTAAAGAGATAACGCGCAGTAGAGAGCCTTGTATAAAACAGGGAGGAGGTAAGATGATGAACTTTCAATGAATTTATGAAAAATATGAAAACATAATGTATATCACCCCTGCGTCAATTTTCTACGAAATAATGCGTGCAGAGTCGGACAACGGGTGCACGTGCTTCTCGGTCGCCAATTAAACAGCCTCCTAATGTTCATTTTAACATTAAAAGATTATCGTCAAGGCAACCTGACCCTTAGCTTTCTCCGGAGAAATTAGGAGAGTTGTAAAACATGACAGAACAAAATTATCTCAAAATGTTTCGATAACCAGTGATTCCAGGGAAATGTAAACCTTTTTCCTCGAATCACTCGTTTTTTAAATAAATCCAAAAGCTCTGATGCCATTTTGTTCATCATGATTTAGCAATTTTCTAGTGAAATTCCCATCTACAATAGCTTCACTATTTCTTGGAGGAAAATAACAAGTACAAAGAAATCTTAATAGTAACCCAGTGACCCCATCCGCTTTTCTATTATTTTCCAGGTAATCCCAATAGATGAATTAACAAACCAAAATTAACTCTGATCGCACATCATTTCAGATATAACTACTTGCCATAACGAATGCCTTAGCGAAACGTATAATTGTAAAGTGAATCTACAAATAAGCGAGAAAATGAACCTAGACACTCACACGAAAATACGTAGAGTGGTATTTAGAACGAGAAAACCATTATGGCAAATTAAACAAAATTAATGAATAGAATATATTAAAGTGAGTGAACGCAGACGGGGAGTGAGACATTAATGTTTTCGGAGGTGACATTGAATGAAGTGAGAATTATATAGTAAATTATTAACTAATTAAACTGTAAGCAAAAGGAAATTACTTGAAAAAATAAGGTTGCAATTACTGTAATAGAGAGAATGGAAAGCGAGGAATGAAATGACCATAATGAGTAATCGTAAGTCCTGCTATTATAATCGATTTCGCCCGTCCACTTGTTAGGCACTGGCTGTCATTCGATGCCAACTTTCGTTATTCCATTAGTCAATAAGTAGGTCAGTAATTATGTGGTAAGACTGGAGGAATTCACTCCAAGAGAAGTCTCATTTCGCTTTACGAGGGAATCTTGAAAAAGGATTCCATATCAATTTAAAGGATTAAGAGAATTTAATTTTCAGACTACATTGTATGTATTGATATTATTTCCATTAAATTTCCCATATCATTGTTATTTTTTTTTCATTTTTTCAAAATAAGAATTGGGTTCGAGACCTCGTGGATGAATTAACGAAGTAATTCTGGTCATACGCGATATATCTGAGAGGCAAAATTCTAGGGGCAAAATTACATACCCTGAAAAAAATGGGAGACGGCGTTTTGAAAGGAAAGAGGGGTATAGCTTGACAGTGAAGATATGAAAATTTTCAAGTTTTTCTTTTCAAGAGAAAAATTACAATTCCAAATCTCCATGCATTTTTCTGAAAATTATGTGCAGTTTTTGTTAATCTTTCAACAAACAGGCCACTTTAACATAAATTTTTGAACTTAAAAATGACCCTTCATATCCAAGATTAATTCATTTATGACCTCAGTCGTTGGAGATCTACGTTACCAATTTTTACTGTGACTTTATTGTATACTATTTTGGCGAGCGCGTGAAATTTCAGGGAAATTATAAAAAAATAAGCGAATACTGGTAATCGATTCAAAAGAAAGTCAACCAAATTACAAAAGAAAAATTGGTCACTCCCTTTTAAAAGTAAATGAACTGAAACAAATTTTATTTTAACTTAATTAACTGTAAGAAAATTATAGGAAACATTTGCCTGGTGTTCTAGTCCCATTAGTTTCCTGATTATCTTCTTGCAAGTAATCTCATAATTTAACTAATGCAATAATTTAGTAATAACTAAATTGACGAAACCAGTTCTACAGAATGCGTATTTGCTGCCAGAAAATCGTTTGTTGCCACTATAATTTGGAATAAGAATAGGGAAGAGATTCACAATTGTCTAGATTTTTTTCACGTGTAAATAATTTTTCTTTGAAAAATACTTTTCTTGTGTATGTGTACTACTTTGAATCTAAGAGTTACCGTCATTTGTCAGAAACCGTTTACAAAGCGAAATAAGATTAATTGCCACTACATTACTGCACCTGCTTCGAAAAAAAGAATAGAAAATCCGTCATGAACATTGACTTTCGCTTCCTGAAATCCCCGGACCCCCGTATCGATGAAATATGCAATCGACGTGACCAGAGTGAGAAGAAAAATCAATAAACCCCATGAGTCAATTTATGAAAAACCCATTCATGGCTGTGGAGTTCGATTTTCCTAAAAATCGAAGAAAGAAAATAATCTGAATCGTTGAACGTAAATCGATGCCAGGAGATTGTTATCGATGCAAGGGATAGGGTGAACTGTCCAATTATGGAAAAGTGCTGATGACTGGAACGATTTCAATATTTATTTTTTTGTTAACTGCAGATACTTATGGGTATTTAACAAAACAATATTATTCCATTTATTTTATTCTAACTATATTGAGAAAAAAATAGCTACTGATGCTCTCACGTTATTATCCCGTTATGTAATTATAGATGTTCCATGAATTGTCAGTTCATCCCATTCCAAGTTTTCCGATATGATACGCCCGGTGACGAACGACGATCGTCGCATATCAAATATTAAAATTAAGCTATTAGAAACCCAGAACGCAATGGAAAACGACAAGTGGTATCGCACTATCTTCAATCCAAAATCATAATGAAAAAATTCTAGGGGCTTGATCGAAACCAGTGACACAAAGCATCACCAGCGGGCTGAATAATAACCAAAAAAAAAAAAAAACGATTTGAGAAACGTGAAACCAAAAAAAGTATAAGATTAATTGAGTATCAAAGGGGGAAAATTAAATAAAATAAGCAACGTAGAAGGGATTCTAGCCTTACGATGAAGGGTCGATCATTTTCTAACCGCTGTAATTTATATCTAAATAGTAAAAAAAAATCTAAAAAAAACATTACAAAAAAAGTGAAAAAGTGTATCTGTGGGCCGTTGTGTACGTGGAGTGCTGCAGTAATAAAAACACCTCTGAACTGCAGCACTTCGACCAACAATGTCCGTATGCACTGGTGCACAGATAAGCGTGTACATAAAAAAATAGGAAGGACAAATAATGAATTGATAAAGCAAACCACAAAGTATGTTAATCCCTGCGGCCTCTCGCCACCTCCACCTCCATCTGCGGGAAAGAGTGTCTGGGATTTAGGGGCAATCGACAGTAAAAATAGATGAAAATTTTGGGATTTTAATCCCAGACACTCAACCTATTGATGTCTTTGAGGGGGCATGTGATAGATTAATCAGATTGCGCAAAATGACTCTTTTCGAGGTCAAAAAACGAAAGAAATGATGAATAATTTTGAAGCATTATCCACTATAGGTCGATGCTCCTGTGATGAGGAGCGAGTGGCGAATGAAAAATTCTAGATGCCTTTTTCTCTGTTTATTGGTACGATGTTTTTTGGAGGAAAAGACGTAACTTATTGCCGGAATCATCCCCGAGGTATATCATATATCAGCATTCTAATGTATAGAGACGAAAATACGAGCCGGAGAGGATTAATTTTGCATTAGTCAGGAAACCGTTAAGCCAAGAGAACAAATTTCATAAACAAAGATATTCAAAATTAAATGGAAACGAAAAAGGTCCATTTGATTGATGCTGCTCTATTAAAGTCGTGTTTATTATAGATAAATCACAGTATTGGATAAAGAACTGTGATTTGACAGGCTACCAGGTGTTTTTTTTTTAATTCTTCTCTATATCTGCAGTTGAATATTAGAGTTTCCATTCAAGCCACGTCTGCCCTATTTTCCAAGAAAATTGAATTATTATCAAATTGCAAATCCAAAATGCGCCTTTTCCCTGTCAGTCGAAAGAAATTTATTTTGTACAACGACAGTTTTTGAGATTCTCAAAAATTTTAGTGATTTATTCATAAAAATGTAAACACATGATAAAATCCTTGGCAAAATGTTCATGATTGCTTTTTTTTTAACGCAAACTGATATCAACTTTAAGGCCCGGGTGGACCATCTACCGAACGTCATCTTTTGTTTAAATTTCATCTTTTTAGCCCACAATATATTAAAATTTAGGATCAAATTTGTGTTGCAAGAAGCACTTGAATGGACATAAAAAAATAATGAAAAAAAAAGTGGTAAAATTATTAAAGGGCACTGAAGAGCGCTATTGTTTTAAAGGGGTCTACCAACTTTATTAAAAAATAATAAAGAATACATAGCTCATGATATATGACATATACAGATGTATATATATCTGATATATAATGGCGGCCACAAATCTAATGTGTTGCATCATGGTAACCAACGTATTTTTTGTATCATTTTTTAGTCAACTTGGTAGATCCCTTTTAAATAATATCGCTCTTTAGCGCCCTTCAATAATTTTTCCTCTTTTTTTTCATTAGTTTTTTATACCCATTTAACTGCTTACCGCAACACAAATTTGATTCCAAATTTTAATGTATTTTAGGCTAAAATTATCAAATTTAAACAAAAGATGACGTTCGATAGATAACCCACCCTGGTCTCAATGGGAATTCTTTTGCGTTTTGTTTTTGATCCAAACACCTCATGATACGTCTTTTCTCCTAAAAATAATCGATTAACGTTCATCAAGTATCCAAATCGACCTCCTGAAATACGCAATTGTTCATAATTATTTACATATCCATTGTTCTTTTGAAACTCAACAAAGCCCTCACATTGAGAGAAAGAATTGCTTCGGCCAACCAAATTTACTTGCCACAATTGAATGTATATAGATATTTGCATTGGAAATGCGTGGAGTATTAGTAAATCTACTTGACGAAAGTAATATTCATTCTCAATGTATTTCTTCAAACTTCCTAAGCATCAATGAGTGTTTATCAAATAGCTCTTCAGCTTTCGTCGCACGCGTGTACTTTGTACGAAGACAGAATTTCCTATGTATTTTCTACGATTTATTTTTCTACGTGTGAAGCATCACCCACGAACGCTGAAGAACCAACGAATTAACATAATTAGTCTCCACTAATTACCAATTCATCCCTTGGTCTCCTGCATTCGCCACTCGTGAGCATCGAACATGTAATTAGACCCAACAAATCCCTGTCTGAATGAACCAACGAATGACTCTGCCCTAAAATTCAAAGTTCTGGAGAAAAAAAAATAATTGCAATTCGCTTGAGCTTGAGCACCCAAAACACAGATTTAAAAAAATGCCTAGAGAACCGATTTTAACCAGTCGATGAGACGTAACCAGTAACAATTAGCAGAATCATTTGTTTTCTAACGAGAAAGAAAAAGATAATCGAGTGAGAGGAATTTCTAAGGACGAATGAAAGAGGATAATTAGGCACACAATGTTGTTCGAAGGTAAAGGCCTAACGAATTATCCCCTCGCAATAACGGAATTAGAAAACCCTGTAAATAGATAGCCCCCTGTTCTCATCCTATCAGACGTTTCTGTTAAAACCATCAAAGGAAAACTGAAGAATCAATTATCTTTTTGTGGCTGATAAGAATATATGCACGTTGGAGAGCCTCAGAAGGGAATAACAAAAAAAAACTATGATGAAAAATACTTGCCATACTAGTGTTATATGGACAAAAAAACTTAGTGATATTTGCGATACTAGATAGACTGAGCCATTAAGTAACGATACCTAGAGTGTAAAAGGGAATAAAGAGGGATGCCTGGGCCTGCACCCCACTGAATCGTTGAATAATCCAGCCTGCAACAATAAATAATAATGGGTAATGATAAGAAATTGTAAAAACAAAGTAATGTCCATTATCATTTCACTTTCTTGCAAACTGCGATACTGAACGATTCGGTGCCCAACGACAGATGAGAGTCAAAAAATCATTTGTTGCGTTCGAGATAACGGCCGAGTATTAGTATTATTATTCATCAGCATTTGAGAAACAAAAAATCGAAATAAAATCCTGTCACCGTTACTCATCTACCTCTTTTTAACGTCATGAAACAAAAAAATAAATATCGATGAGTTGTATTGTTGCCTAATGTGGTGATTGAAAGGGATATGAATTGTCATCATTAATCGGCATAATTGAAAAAAAATGTTGAATATTAATTGACAAACATCGTTGATTAATCAGTCAATCTTAATGTTTTAATATGAAAAAAAACTATGTATTTATTCTTATCGTTTTCAAATAGCCGGACCGACAGAGTTGTTGCATTGAAACACGTATATTTTCATTGAAATTGTTAATGCTTAATATGCTGGTAGGAATTGTTCAAAGCTTCAGGGATATCAAAGCTATTGATCGAATAGAACATGTCACTGATTCGTGGATAACGATGAAAATGTGACTGAATGAGAACATGAGTGATTGAGGTACGTAACAATGTGCCGATCGTAATGATGATATTTTTTATCGAAAAATAAATGAAACAAAAATAATAAGAAAAGTGCTCAGCGAGTTCCATTAACTCACACTCACTCAAACTCACTCTACTCACTCGCAACATCTATTATAAAATATGTGCTTTATATAGTTTAACAAAATAAATAATTTGAAAAATACTAGTTGAGTTTTTAAACACCTCTGAACTACTGTTCTATCACTGGGTTCATTTATTATGTAATCATGGGATTGATGACTATTCTGGGATGAGCAAGTCTGTGAAGATACTGGCATTGAGTATTTTACGTAGGTTGAGCCCCTCTAATCTTAATTCGATCTCTCGTTCTAGTGCGATCGCCGCCTCGAGCAATTTGTCGCCTTTATTTCTCTCTGTTACTTCTGGTATTTCTGTTTTCAGGAGGTGAAGAATTATGTTCACTTGTGATGTTGATCTGTGAAAAAAAATAATCATTTCAATCAATTTCAAATTTAAAAAAAGGAGGGGAACAAATATATAATTGACTAACGAAAGTTCAAGAATATTCAAGGATTTGGGTAATTTTTTTTTGTTGATATCCTTTTCTATATTGACATTTGAATACTACGCATTTATTCAATGATGAGACTTTGGCTTTCTTATTTCTTTTCTTCAGTAAATTTATGGAATTATAAGAAGCTTGAAAATTTTAAAGATCAATTTTCTCTTCTAAAATTCGAAATCGATAATTTAATTAGCAGAATCATTGGAGAATTTTTAATAAACGCTTGTGCATCAGATGACGATAAAGTCTAAAAACGGTGATATCACGAAATTTTATCCGAACAAATGTATATATTTCTATTGATATAGACAGGACCTACTGAAACGAGTATTAGAAAAGAAAAATTCAAATCTTTGCAGTAGCTTTTTAGATATTGAAGAAAAACGAAAGTTGCTATATGTGAGGAACTATTGGACCGATCGTACTAAAACGATGCATCAAAGTAAAGGTTGATGATACCTATCATAAGTTAGAAATTCTAATTTTTAGCTACAAATTTCACGTATTTATGTAGAATTTTCTCAAAGTTAATCTTAAAAATTCCGAATTTTCCAGCACATACGCACAGGCACGGTCTAAAAACATCGTCTTTTTGCCTTTCATAACATTCTAGATAACTTGCAATTGCAATGATAAAATCGAAGAATCAGTCAAATACAAGGCTTCCATTCGGAAGCAAAAAAATCTAGACAGTGAATTACTTGGCTGAAATCCTCAAATTGACGTCGTCCTCCCCCAGGAGTATTTCAATGATGCAATGCCTGAGCATCTCCGTGTGCTTAGAGACATGAACATCAGGAAAGATCTCATTGAATCCATTCCCTTCCATGAAGTCCATGAGTTTAGCCCCGAGATCCTGTCCCAGTGGAATACTAACAGTTGTCTCGACAGAAGATGCTTTTATCGCCAGAACACTCTTCTCGAGGACAGCCGAGTGTCTGGGTGTCATTGACTTGTCAACGGCCTGAGCTGCTGTCATGCTGAAGGACTCGATTGGGGTCTGGAGATAATAGCCCTCGATCTCGTAACTGATGACACCGTGACCCTCGATAACTTCGCAATCCTCGAAACTCGGCATATCGAGGACTACAGTGGCCACCTTATGTCCAACATCTGGAGTCACATTCTCTATCCTATTCCACAATGCTGCCTCCGTCATTTCCCAGAGGCACGTGACACCCTGCAACTCCCTCTGACCCTTTATCATCACGTACACAGTTGGTTCCACCAGCACCCTGTGGACAGAAATGAAATAACCGATGTTATGGAAGAAAAAACTATCCCTGAGAGATAAATTGATTTGCTCGAAGTGAATCTACGTCAAGAAGAAAAACTACTTCTGACTATGAAAATTTATTCAAACCGAAACCTTATTTAAATATTCAATTCTACAGTCAATAAACTGAAATCAAAATAAGTATGAAAAGAAGCCAATTTTCATGACCATTTATTTGTTGAACGATATATGAACTAAAAAATATTCACATAAAAATTTCGCAGTTTTTTTTTTTCATGTAGAAAGAATTTCAAAGATAATTAGGATTAAAAAAAAAATTGAATTTAGTTGGAAAAATAAATTTGTGTTCAAAGTTTTGAAGTTCTGTATCTTATCGCGGCCTTTAGCACCAAAGGATCAATGCGGATGGATGTCTTGCAGTGGTGATAGCATGTGGGCGGGGACGACAATAGCAATCACTCGTTTTTCGACTCTGCTTGAACATTTTTCATGATAAAAGTGTCTGCAGTTGTCGGAAAACGGAAATGCAAGGGAATAAAAACGTGTTGTGAGGAGATGGTATTTGTAGGAATTGCTGGGAGAACTTGGAAAGAGGAAGGGGTTGTGATAGGAGGACCTTCGGTGAGTCTGATAACGGTAGTGTCACGTTCTTACTGTTATTTACAATTTTGAATCGTGCACTGGTGAAAATTATTGTCGTGGCGACAACTTCACAACAGAAACACGCAACAGCCAAAAAATGTTATTGAACAGTTTCATTTTTTTATGCCAAAAACGTAATAGTAAAATAGTGAAATAACGAACATTAAACAAAAATGATTCTTCATCATTGGAAATGTTGGATTATTCCAACAAGCGATGGGTTTTAGGGAAAAAATCTCCATTCTTCACTTATTAAGTAATTTTAGAAGAATAATAATTAAAAGATATTTAGAAGAGTAATAATTTTCATTAAAATTGTAATTTAAATTAACGGCTGTCTAACGATGCATTAACAAGCGCTAAAACTCGTTAAATTTTCTTCTGTAATCGAGAGACAAACTGGCAATTATTCCCTCGTAAATTCATAAGTACTAACGACCCTGATTGATTCCCTCCCCCTTCATATATGAATAATCATTCCCAATCAGCGGAAACGAGTGGAATAATCGTGGATCGATGCCCAATCACTCCCCCTCTCCTGTCCCCACCTCTTACCATTTCCCGGATGCAAACAATTTTTCAAACTCATCAATTTTTCAATTCCGGGACCCACCCAGGACATTATGATTCCGCGATTCTCCTGACTCATACGTTCATCAATCAGAAAAAAAATGCATGTTCAGTGAACCGACGTGAAGCGTTTAGAGTTGCGTAATATGTCAAATATTAATGCCACGAGCACACCAGGAAGTGCTTTTGAACATTGAAAAATGAGACCAGAATAATTTAGCATACGACTGTTTAGCATCAGCCAAACTGTCTTCTTGACACATCTTAATGTGTACCGAAACGTCTATGTTTAGGGCCCCTGTCTCTCATCGCATTCAATTTATTGCCGTGCAATTTGCACCTACTACCCAAGTACTTAATCTTCTTACCCTTCAGTCATAAAGGCGGATCAAATTTTTTTTTCACCAATCCGACGATGTCCGGCTTTATAGTCTCTGGCTACGAACCTTAATGAAGATAGAGTGATTCGCTCGAATGCCCGGGGAATGAACCCCACCGCAAACTAATTCTGGCTATTGGTAATACCCAATGAACCAGAATCCCAATTCCGCATTTGAATGATTATTCGAAGAATTCTGAACATCCGATTACAGCTCGCTTCTTAGTTTGGATGCTTCGGGTACTTCGCATTGCTCCGGGAGTTTACATTCCTTTCATTGTGGAGATCATCAGGACCTGGATGCAATCATCGGTGTGAATTTCCTGGAAGAATTCTAAACGGAAAAAATTCGGAGGAATTTTAAAAATCATGAGTGTTCAAGAAAACTTCATGTGGACAATTTTTTGTATTTCCATCAAATTACTCATGAGAAATTACTTCATCTCTATTCAATGAATTTACTTTTTGCCCAATGAATAAAGGGAAGAGTCTTTGTAATCTTTTTCTACTGGAATATGACAGTGAATAGGACCTAGTGGTCCGATTGCAGACAGGCGGAAAGAGTGACTGGGTTTCAGGTCAACTATCGACTGTGTCAGTAGATGTGCATTCTAATCAGTCCCGAGGTTGAGAAAAAGGAAGGAGAAATGGGAGCAAAAGTTGCATAACTTTTTCTTGAAAATATTTTTGTCAGATCTGGCCTTGATCCTTTATTGTTGGTGATGATGAGCTTCCACTGGATGTTTGCGTCTGCGCTTCAGCATGTTCACTGGTAAATCGACCCGCGAAATGCATCTGACCAATCTCAACTGGAGATACTGTGTAGAAAGTACTGACACTTCCGACTTTCAGCATTATTCTCTGTTGTCGTTTCCTTATTCTCGGAATTTTATCCCTGACATAAACAATTCTATCGCCCACTATTCTTCAATTTTACCGAATAATTCGATCAAATGGGCCAGAATTTTTTTAGCAGACAGCATTATTTCCAACTATTTCGTGACTCGATCCCCGTCTTTGATTGATTGATATTTTTTGATAGGTTCTTTCGAATTGTTTGACTCAATTCAATTATTTTTTTTTTTAAGAATCTAGAGGTTTCAGCTTTTTGAATTCTTGGTTTCCTTGGCACGATGAATTTCTTGAAAAATTCATTGCTGCGAGATTTTTAGAATGCAAAATCGATTATTCACTTAAATAGATGAAACCGAAATCTGCAAGGATGGCAATTTATCAATGATTTCCAATCTGTAGTATTACGGTTTTTATTTAATTGGAATTTTCAGAATATTTCCAATAAATGGTTTAAAAGAAAACATTTAATTGCGCGGTTTACTCGCGCATGTCATGCAAAACTTTCAAGTTTTGTCAAATTATCATTGAAGTTGAAACAAATGTCAGATCATAACAAACTATTTTTTCAATTATTAATTTTGTTTACGGAGCTCAGGGTGTCCGAAATAGTCTAATAACTTGTCTTCCTATAAACGGAATTTATTGGTTATTATTATTATTTATGATTAATAATTGTTAATACTAATGTTTTTAATCTATTTTCTAAACGAAAAATCACTGTGAAGATTAAGAAAATAATGAAAAAAATATATAGATGTAAGTGAAAAACGTTCCACTGAATTTTCTAAAGAGGAAAAACGGATTAATTTGTTATTGCAAAAAAAGTATGGAAGTTGTCAATAGTTTTGACGTCGATACTGGAGTGTATCCCCCACCATTTGTGGAGATTGGAGTGTGTTGGTATGCGCCGAAGTGTTTGGTTTTGGCGCTGGCAATGAAGAGCGACAGCGTCGGGGCGCCCGGCGTCGTCGACGGATTACTCGTTGTGGACAGTGCACCAGAGAATGCCGCCGTGAACGGATGCACCCTGGGGACATATCGTCAGCACATTCACACGTGTTGAATCCACATTCTAGGTGATTAGAGATAAATACGCGATCATATCCGGACCCGTACCGAACTTTTCCCCTACTCACGGGGCAATTTTATCGCAGCTTTTTCGGTGAATTTTCCTCTGGGGGAAAAGCCCGGGTGGAGCTGCGACGAGACGCCGAGTCGTCGGGGTAAATGATACTGTGATCAAATCCCTGCGTGTATGCTAGGTGGAGGTAAGTCTCAATATTTTTTTCATTATTTATTTATCTTATAAGGAAATAATGGCAAACATGCGGAGAAAAATAATTATTATTGCTATAAAAAAATCGCATTTTGAAGATGTAAATATTTGTATAGATTTACTTTTGCCGAGCAAATTTACTTGGAAAATGTGAATTCGTTGAGCAGGGGCATTTTTATCTCAGTTTAGTGCGCGGAAATAAATACTTGATAAAAATTTGATGTTTTTTTTTTAAATTTCCGAAGAAAAATCTAAAACTTTGTCAAGGTTCTGAGTGACTTTCGGAATCGCTGGGCGAACCGTGAGTTCCGTAATTTTTATTGAATATTTCTGTGCGGAAACTGAAAATTGGGATTTTATCAACAAGAAATAGAAATAGTGAATTTTAGATCTGATATTCAATAGAAATAGATTGAATTTTATGACGTTCTTGAAAATGACTAGTTTCCAATCCCTGAAATTCAATTTCGTTTTATCAAATTGATTTTCTTTTTATGGCACTATACAGAACTTAATTGCGAAAAAAGTGACAAATGGAATCGAGAAATCGATTAGTTTGAAATATTCCAAGGCTGAATTGCCAATCCAGGGATTTTTCAGTTTATAAAAAAGTAAACCGGTTTTCCCTCCGTACTTTTTACGATGCGATAAAAAAAACCTTCGGTGAAATGAAGAAATTTTCATCTGTTAATACCGGGGTAAAATAGGTTGTCTTTAATTCTGGAATTCAAACGAAAAAGGATTTTCCCAGTTGTGTATTCGCAAAAATTTTCATTTGTCAGGATCTTTCTTTATGAAACACAATAAAAAAACACGCGAAAAAAAATCAAAATAATTTCACAATACTGGAATATTCCGTATGAAAAAAACCTCTTAATTTTGATAAAACCCGAGTGTAAAAGCCCTGAGAAATAGTTTCCAAGGTAATGAATGCATCAAATGAATGTTTTTATCTGCAGTATGAGAGGGAATTCCCATATATTTTCCGTTTTACCCATAGAAAACATTTAATTTATTGAATTTCTAGAGATAGAATTTTTCTTGCGAGAGGACTTAGATGAAAAAGCAACATTGGCGGCAAAAATAAAAATTAAACCCCTGTCCCATTAATTTGAAGTAATATTTTTTCAATTAAATTCTGTAGTTGCTATTCCATGTAAATTTTGTAGAATCCCCCGCTGTCTGCAACGTACATGAATAAGTGAGTCAGCATCGTTGGTCGTGTGCACGACAAAAAAACTGACTTTTCCACGTGAAAGAGACAAAAAGAATCAACAGAAAAGGCTAAATTGATTTCCCATTTATGCTCGTATCTCTGTGAATTCTTTCTCGAAACTGTTTGCACGAAAAGCGGATGAAGGAAATCGGGCGGATCGTCGAGTTCAATACAGCAAGAGAAATACGGATTCATTAGTCCGTTCAGTAAAGAAATCTCGGTTACTTCAATTTCCCACTGAGTTCATCCCATCGCAACCACCTTGTTCCCCGTAATTCGTGGTATTGCAATTATGATCGCCTTATTTCATGGTCTGTTATTCTAGAGCCAATAAAGTCCGTTAGAACTAGTCCTAGCTTCATTGGTTTCATTTGATACTGGGAAAATTCAGAAAGGGGCGTTACAGCACATTCTCACGTACTAAACAATCTTCATGATTTCTTCATTTATACAGAGGAAATATGAAAAAAAAAATGACTTTGCTCACCGATTACATACAGGATTACGAAAAATTACACGCGATACTGTAATCTTTCACTGAAAAATAACATAAAAATTTAAGAAGTCACGGAAAAATTTGCCCCAACCATTTTTCGTTCTATTAAAAAAAGGAGTAATTTATGTTGAATATTTTTTTCTGTGTGCTAAATAAAATAAAATTATTAGGTATTGACCCAAAAAAATCCTGCGAATTTAGATAATCGATAACTTTATTTTCACATTTCCGTAAGTTTACTAAATTAAATTAAATATGATTTTTCTTAAGAATGACTGAAAATTAGAAATTGGGAATTGAACATGAAATAACAATTTTTCTCCATAAATAAATTACTCTCCCGGGATGAAAATAAATATAACTAAATTACTAAACATAACTAAATTACTCTCTCATCACAGAAAACACGAGAATTGCCTCATTAAAAAAGAAACTTCTAGTCAGTTTCACCTCGATATCGTTGGATTCCAGGAGAATTGAATGAATATTCCCATGCATTACTGCACATTCTCACGCACTGAACAACACAATTACCTTCGCCAGTCCTTCATTAGAATTAAAAAAAAAAATCAAAAATGAATACGTTAAACTTGCGGAATTCGCCTGATTGTAGAATTAATATACGCGAGTGTCACTATCACATGGCCTTTTGCATTGAATATTTTTATGTGAGGTGTAAAGAAAATAATATAGGAAACAATTCACATGGTAATCGAGGAGAGGGTGTACCCTATGCGATATCCATCGTATGGAATTAATTGACTTGGGTTTGCCGGTAATATGGGCATAACAAGTGAGGTATACACCCGTGTACAGAACCAGTACACAAGCATTCACCGAGAGGAATCATACGGGGTTACGCAATTGTCAATTGCCATCTGGATTGACGTTTTTTTTCTGTCTTACTTGATTATTCACCTTGTGAATAAACCTCGAGATAATCTAATAAATATTTTCCACAATTCGCTGCGGATGTCCGTCATCAGGAAGTTGAAAAAATTATCGTTGAGAAGGTGGAGATAATTATGAAGGAATTGCATATCTAAATTGGTGGTGATTACATCTTTGTTGTAAACTTGTATGAATATTCTATAATGTAAAAAGTTCTATTTTATCATCTGTTGCGAAAGAAAAACTTCAGGCATTTTTTAGTGGAAATCAGTTTTTCTATGAAAATGTCCTCTTAATCCTACAGCAAGTATTAGTCTTTGAAATGACAATCAACTTGAATTGTATTGGACTGATCACAATCTTGGGAGTGCGTGACCGAAAAAATTAACACGGATGGATAACGGACAAGTAATTACGAAGGTTGCGACAAATTTCACACGGTGTTAAGAATTTTTGGTTGCAATTTCTGCCTTTTCGTCTGTCTCTTCTCTTCCATTACAGTATTAATCTTGAAACATATCTGAATAATTTAAATAGTATCAAAAGACTTGAATTAATGCACGAATATAAATTGACGATTTCAAATAATTATTAAATAATTGTTGTCTGAAAATCCAAGTAAAAATCACATTACATTTGTTATGTTCACACAATTTGAGCAATGTTATAAAATTGATTCTTAAATTTTGATATTATGATCTAATAGGGTTTTTTTTTCTTTTTATTTAAATTGAACTCGATGTGACCTCCACCAAAAATAGAAATCTGCAATGCGAATTTACCAGAATTGTGTCCAGAATAGACGTATTGAGTCATTAGTTGAACAATTTACACGGCCAATGAATCAGATGTTAATTTGTTTGTTATTGTAATTTATTGTGCTTTCAGTGCGCTATGAGTACAGGCGGAAAAACAATCACAGAGAAAAGATGACACCACGCAGACACGTCCTGGCTGGAATTCGCAGGACGCTACTTGCAGCTGCAGTACTTGCCATCATCATTCTCGCATTGTCGAGTCAGGACAGCAGTAATAACACAGTGCAGTCACCATTGGAAGTGAGTACAAGCACCCATTTCTATTTTAATTGAACATTAGCACTGTGGAAAATTGGCAATTTTAATATTCAATTCTCTCCACGATATTATTATGCAATAACGATAATTTTATATTTTCTATCAAATTATTGGTAGATATTTGATTGAGAATGCTTTTAAATAATGAATATACTCTTCTCGATTTGAACATAATAATCTTTCCGAGGACATTACGCTTGAATACACCTGAGTATAATATTTTATTAACTCATTCACGTTCTACTTTCCCATAAAATAGCGAAATATCGCCACACGAATTCGCCCCACATCGAATTTCCCTTATAATTTGACAGTTAACTCTAAAAATCCCATCACCGCCAACTTTCCCCTAAAAACGACATCATAAACCCCCATATTTGTCGGATGTGAGTAAAATTACCCACAAAAATGTCGACATAATCCAGATATTTTGAGTTCTCTATATCCAATATTTATGTTGAATTTCAAATATCTACAAATTCGTTCATTGGTCAAAAGTTTCAATATGCAAATCTGTTGACAAAATTACCCCGACTCCCTAATTTTTATTTTATATCTAATAAGACAGTATAATCAGAGCCAGTAATTTTGGGGGAATTATTATCTGATGGCAGTTCTATTATGTGAAAATGTCTGGGCAGTCAATAGATGATTCTTGTTCCAATTTGTAATTTTAATTCCTTGTGTCTAATAATTACGGAAGATAAATGATAATTGCTACATTCTCTAAATTCGTCGGGAATAGAGCATAAATATTTTTTATTCCAGTAGATTACCTCTAGATACACCCGATTAAGAGATATTATCAACTCTTCCACGTTCATCCTTGCTATAAATGCCCGAATCACCAGGAGATGAATTCCTTCTACATCGAATTTGCCGGGCAATTCGACAGTAAACTCTAAAAACACCATCTCCTTGAATTTTCCTCCAAAAACGGCATCATAAACCCCCCATATTCGTTGGACGCTAATAAACTGGCCCATAAATCGTCGGCCACACTAGGAAACGGTCTGATTTCCATTCAATATTCTTGCCCAATTGGTAGAAAAAAGTGAAATTTTGCCATTTTTGGAACTAACGTTAAATTCTATTAATTCTTTCATCGATAGAAACTCTGAATATTTAAATCAACGATTAAACTCCCACAAGACAATTAAAATTCTCAATTTTTTAACGAAGTCGACTTTAACGTTTTTTTAATTATCAATTAAACATGAACTCGTTTCGCGAAAATGCACTGCACTTTATCTGATAAATGCGGAATTGGATTGAAACATAGGTTTTTTTTGGGTTTGAAAATGAGATAAATCATGATGCAAACCTGTGATTTGCTTTGACAGCTAAACCGCTGTGAATTATTTTGCATACTTGTGTTATAATTCACACAATTTTACAATAAATCCAAGATCTCTTGTGCGCCTCAGCCGCAGCTAGATCGATTACGGTTGTTGTATCACGATAGTCTCTGCAAAAAGTTATACGGTAAAACGGGCCAGTTTAGAACACAATCTCTTCACGGTATATAGTCGCACTTGATAAATTGCATTGTACATAGATATCTGAAGCATAACTATATATTTTCCATATTAACTATTTTCAATTATATAAATTTATGGATGTTCGATTTATATCGCGTAAACCAAATAGTAATCGATTTGATTTTTTTTCCTGTATTCCCTGCCACGATATATATTCCATGTTTTTTTTTTATTTTGAATACTGCCGAGCCGTTGATATTTTAAAAATTTTAATCGATGAAACTCTATTTAAACACGTGTTAAATCACTTGAATTTTAAAAATTCAAAGGAAAAAGAAAGCGCTCATTTTGTAGTTAATTTTTTGAACTGTTCACCATAAAATTTTTAACGAAAACTGTCAAACAAAAATTTTACGATACAACATTAACACAGATTTCTCGCTAAGGAACATATTTTTGGGTTCACCAAAAATTCGAATGCACTTGGTTATGAGAAATCATCAACTGAGGCATAATCCAAAATTTTTTCTCTTCGGAATTTCCCCTGAGATAATAAATGCAATTGTCGAATGCCTGATTAAAACACATTATTTGCTCATCCACATTGTTTCTCCTCATAAAATGTAGAAAGTACCACCAGTTGAGTTCTTCCCACGCCGAACTTCCCCTACAATTCGCCAATAAACTCTAAAAACTCAAACTTTTCTCCGAAAAACGACACCCTAAACCCCATATGTTCTTCCCAGAACACACGCGAATAGCCTGAAATTCACTTTAGCAAAAAAAAAAAAAACCACCAAGAGTACAAACAGCAAGAGACTGAGAAAACTTTGCACAGTGGAAAGCGAGTTGTGATTTTCACGAGTTCTTCAGCCTCTCAACTCTGTGCGCGTTGAGGAGAGATGGGCCTGGAGAGAAGAGAATATCTGCAAGTTTTCGCATCTCTTCTCTGTGGCCTTCGATTGGATCGTAAACTCATCGTAAAAAAGAAATCCAGGGGTTTCGAGCATAGCCCATACCTCACATCAGTGCTTTGGATTTTTATGTACCCAGTGAGTAAACCGCAGGAGAATTGGGTATGAGAAAGAATCCGCTGATTTTTCATTTATATCACGCACAACCGGGAATTGAAACATAATATTTGCTGTGGAATATTACGTTTACATAGCGAAAATACTTTTTGAAGTAGTAATTGAAATATCGATTGAAATATTATTCAAATTTGCAATACAGTTTCAAGTATTTGACTGAAATATTAAATGTCAAATAACTAAAATAACTAAATGTCAAACTAATTAATCCCTAAAAATAAATAGAAAGCTGCAAATATAAGAAATAAACTCGCGCACCAGTTAATGAAGTGAACATGAACCGTTTAATATTGCGATTCCCAATAAAAGTAAATGAAAGATAGAGGGCAACGGGAGAAGTGAAAATTAATGATTGCAATCTCCCGTGAAGACTCCGGGGGCTCCGGAGGCGTCACATGGAGGGGTATAAGATGAAAAGTCTGACGAAAATAGTACCCTACTACTTGTAGACTTCTCGAGGAGCGTCCTAATGTACTCGGGATTAATTAATCACTCGAGACCTGTCAAATCAGGCTGTTGAAGCGCATGGGCAAATTTCGCCCTGTCCGTGGGGTATGACTCAACGAGAAATCCCCAGATGAGGGTTGATTTCCCCTGGACACCTTCTTTCACCTTCATTCCCCTCATTCCTCCAATGTAGCAATGTCTGTCACCACCGGATCAACTGGAAAGTCGTGCATTTCATTCCTGTCGTCCCCTCCATCGAATTCCCCAGTGATTGCAGCCTAGGGAGAGAGGAACAGAGTGAAAGCCCAAAATAGAGTGAGTGACGCAGAAAAAAGCGTCCAACGACCGTTCACAATGTATTTATAAGATTAAAAGGAAGAAACTCGAGGAGAAATCAATCTGGTGACGTTTGGGGGATGCAAAGTGCTCGGAAAACTTCCAAACCCACAAAGCCTCTGAATGGTCGGCGATAGAATTCAAAAGCTCGGTATCTCTCTTGCTCTTGCATTTGGCAAACCTCCAGACGCATTGCGGCAGGTGGTAGCACCTCCAGCGTAGTAATTATTTTTCAAAACACTCATTTGTATCAATTGATCCCATTAAGAGGTGTCAGGAGATATATTTTTCGGTTTCCATAGAATTTCGCAGGGATTAGAGTCAAGGGAATGTTAATTGCATCATTTAACACCAGGAAATGCTGCTGTCAAATAATTTATTCCATTCGTTTGTCTTCTCAGTTAATTATACATCTCAAATAATGCACATTAATTTCCAAAGTGTCTTGAGTCACTCTTTTTTTTGCCATGAATTTGGAGTTAATTTATGAAGAAAAGGGAAATTATGTTATGAATACATTTAGATAACTGTTTTCATTGAAAAAAAAAACCCGTTGAGTGTTCAATGAAACTTATGCAACCAAGAAAATCAGTGAAACCCGGGGAAAAACAGGTCGTTATTTTACGGGATTCTCTCACAATTGGCAATCTCATGAACGATAAAATTTCAATTGTAGTTATTGAAAATAAAGTGAATTCTACTAGTGTGTACCAGAACTTTTAACAATGAAATTTTCTATCGGGAAATTAAAATTCCTTCGTAATGAAAACATAAGCTGCAGTGGGTTAAAAAAATAAACTTCCTTCAATGTCTCATTAAGCTCGACCTTGCACACGTTAGGGTAAACATGAGTGTAACGTGAGGTTCTCCAGAACAATAACAATATCCGATAACAATATTTGTCGTCCAAAAGCCACAGCCGATTTTCCTAAACTTTCCATCAACTCTCTATTTCCTCACGATTTGGTAGATCTTGAAACGTTGAAAAATGATTATTCCACGTCACGCACATCTAATGTATCAGTGTGTACCGAGTCACGATGTGAATCCCCGACGATTTTGACCATGCAACCCTTGTATGCATGATAGTTGAGACCACAACGATCAAAAGACATCACGGAAGGTCTTTTCTGCGCGGGGCAGAAGCATAAGCTGTAAGTGGGTCGATCGATTCTCGGTGAAATCCCGTAGATCGACCTTTCTCCAACCCCAAAAAAGAATGAAAGAGTTGATCCAACGCACGACATCTTCCACTAGCTCCAACCTATACCCGGTGATAGCAGAATGTCATGTGGACTAGATAAAATCGAGAAAAGTGATTGCCTGGTAATCATGCCATTTTTTCTAATGACACAGATGGGTAAAGTCGATAAGTTAAGTTATCCAAGAGCTGTAATCAAGTTCTTTGACTGTGTGACAGTCTTCCGGAATTTTTTCATCTGCCGGGGATACGATCTCGCTTTGCCCTAGAAAATGAAACTGATGAGCAGATGAAAAAAATTCTCAATTTATGTAAATCAGAGCAATCGATTTAGTTAGACCTTCAAAAATAATTCTCCTAATTTCGATTTTTATACAAATTAATGTTTCCCTGAGTTTCTTCAGAAAATATCTAATTTTCTATTGAAAAATTCCTGGAGATGTCAGTGAATCTACCGCTAGATTAATATTTTAACATCTTCTGTAAGAAGTCACTTGAATATTTTTCTCTGAATGAAAATTAATGAGCGTGGGATTTCCCTTAAAGGCATGGAAAACACCAAAGAATGAAAGTAATGCATACTGTAAAATTAAGGTAATTATCATCAAAGTCAATAGCAATACTCCTTATTCATACGAAATTTAGGTTCTCAAGTAGAACTAACTCCTTTTGCACAATTTTGAATTGACATTTACTCATTAAAACTATTCAAACTGGCACTCTAATTCCCTTATTATTCTGCTCCTCTTCTATTTTATCCCACAAATCTGTCTCTCAAACCTAGATATTTAATTTTCAAAAATCTGTTCCTGCCATCCGTATATTTTCACAATATTAATCTAAATTGTCGTATTTTTTACTTGAATCAATTGTAAATTCATTCTTTAATTATATTATTATTTTGTGTAATATTTACTGCAGAATGAAAGCTTTGTAATCTACCGAATTCAAGTTTCCCTTTTTTTGTCATATATCAACTCAGTATAACCCAAGGAGTTCAATAGTGCAGTTTTGAGACCGTGCCTAAATGTATGTGTGTATGTATGTGTGTATGTATGTGTTTTTTTTTCCACTCATTGCCCCTGATTGTTCACCCTCATCTCTACCTAATTAAATTTTTTCTTTCAAATATCTTATTGGGACCTATCTATCGCCATCAATAAAAATTGATTTCGCTGATTTCAGTCTTTTCTTTTTTGAAAATTCGTTTGTTTCACGATAATTTAAAAAAAATGATTGGAATTAATTAAATGACGTCTTAAAAAAATTGTCCTGATGTTCTCTAGGCCGAGTTCGAAGGTAAATAATAATTATTATTGCTGGCAGCAATAATGATTTTATGTCATTGCGGCTCGGATAAAAACGCGTTTTCGGCCACAATGACATAAAATAGCATCATAGCCACGGTGAAAAAAGTGATTCTGACTCATGCGCGTTATAATCCTCGTCTCCGAGTCGGACTATAAAGTCGCATTCGTCAGATTCCCTTTTTCCGTCCTAGGCGTGAAATATACTATTTTTTATTTCTGTGAAATTCCATTTTTTATTCTACAAAACTAATGCTTATTGCATATTGGAGGTATAAGGCAACTACAATTCCAATTATCATTTCGTTGAACGAATATGCAGAGGAAAAATATTTGGCTCTTGAGAATAAATACTTTACTCTAGGGTTTCTCGAAGCCAATAATAATGATATATTGAAACAAGTGGAGAATGGCTCTTATATCGCGTATCATATAGTTTTCTTTTAATAAATTAGCAATATGCTTCCGAATGCTTATTTTCCCCATTATTTTCCCTTTTTGAATAAGCTTTCATTTTTACTTCATTAAATTGAATCATTCGGTAGCAGTGTACTATATGACCGAAAATTCAAATTAATGGTGTTCAAATAAACTTTTTCAGCGCTCATTTTTTTAATTCATTAAAAGATAAGTATATAATATGCGATATAAGAGCAATTCTCTACTTGTTTCAATATATAATTATTATTCGCTTCGAGAATCCCTAAAGTAAAGTATTTATTCTCAAGAGTAAAACATTTTTCCTCTGCAACTTCGTTGAACGAAATGACAATTGGAATTGTAGTTGCCTCATACCTCCAATATGCAATAAGCCTCAGTACGTATAAGCATGAAAGCTAATTACCATCACGCAGTTGACCTTAACCTTCCCCAGAATAATTTTGCGTTGGAAAAATTGCATGCCCACTGGCTAATATTTCTCTCTCTCTCCTTGATCCTTGAGAAGTGACGCAGTGAAATTGAGAAAAAAAAAACGTATCAGATTACATGAAACAGCATAAAAGCCCCTTGTTCATGACACGTTTGAGGGATACGGTATATAACCGGTGGAGAGTAGGTAGTATGGCCCACATTCGTTGCGGCTAGGGGGGTAACACCAGGAAAATCAATAAACGGAAGGCGTCACTTGTGCATTCAAATTCTAACTACTGTACTGGGTATTCCACCGTTTGATGCATCACGTGTCGTTTCACCTGTCTGAAACATTTATTCATATGATAGCAGAGTAATCGGGAATTCAGGGAGAAAAATGCAGTTCCTCGAAGTTCCAGTTGCAATATTATAGCTGCTTATCTGGATTTTCAATTACGCCAGGATGTATTCAATTGCAATTGAAACTCCACAGAAATTTTAGACCTGTCGTTAGGTAATATATCGAAATGCGAGGAAGATAGCGATATTTTTGTGTATACAGTTTTTGTAGAGAAAGATGGGAGCGAGAAAAAAGATTATTATGAAAATATTACTAGTCTTCTTCAATTCCAAGATATTTTCTAAAAGCTGACTTTCAAAAAATGCTGATATTACAGTTTATCATTTTCAATAAAATTTTTTGAAAATCGACAGATAAAGGGATTCAAAAAATTAAGTCATTTGTCAATGAAAAATTGTAGACAAATATCAAGTGCAATTTTCCACACTGCGCAAGGAGTATGAAAATGTTTGAGGAGGATAATAAGATTAGCTGACCCTCGGAAGAATTGATCGAATGAAATAGTCGATTTAATTTTGGCCGGGGTAATTGGCCCACTGCGGGTATTGAGTCACTAATTCCACTGTTTTTCACACTAAATGTATCTGATATGACAATCGTTTAAAGAATTGAACAATTCATTTTCAGACTCAATTATCTTAATTGCACGATATGAATGAATCAGAAGATTAAGGTGAAGATATAAATGATGCGGATGTGGGCCGCAACGAAAATCGTCGGACATTTTTTGCAAAAACTGTTCATCAAGGCCATTCCCGGGCGAAAGAAATAAAAATATTCAATTTACGCTTTTAACAAAATTAAATTACATTTACTGCGAAAAATTGAATATTTAAGGGTGAAAAGTCTGATAATCTCTAAGTTAATGAATATTCCCTGAAATTCGAAATTAATTCGAGTTTACTAGAAGAAATTTGACGATTGATCAAAAATCAAAGAATATACTTCTCCCAGCTTTTTTCATTTCTATAAATTCGTATGAAATTATGTATTGATTTTGTCAATTTGAAATATTTATTGAAATTTTAATGAGATGTAGAATAAAAATTCTAGATGAAACTGCGAATTTTTTCCGGAAGAAAAAAATGAAATCGATTTGAAGATTGTCGTTCTCAGTTAAATAAAGATAATCGTCCTTCTTACGGATTGAGGATGACCTCGCCTATACACTCTCCAACGCGTACATTCAATCCACGTGTGTACGTCAAGTTCACTCAGCAAATCCAGTTCAATTCAGCTGCTTATCTCTTAGGCAGCGATAGTTGCATCGTAACGCGTTTAAATTAATGCGTTGGCAGAATCTATATTAAATTCATCCGCCAAAATTTCCGTGATTTTTCTACAAGCTGCGTTAATCTGATTTTCAGAATACCCCAGAATCTGGAATAGGCGTTAAAGAATGCCTTCATGGAATTTAATATATCAGAGGAATGATGGTCCCCCTTCTGGCAGATAGAAAAAATATCCTCAGGTCTTTCCCCTTTTCAATAGTACCCTCGTGCTGTCAATAGGGCGATAGGTGAGAGGGCACTCTGCTTGCAAAAAGTGGCCACTTGGTTTCCACTTTTTTCCTTGCTGTCTCTCTACTTCTCCACAAAGACTCGAGCAGAATTAAAAAACCACTGAAAACTCCTCACGTTCCCTTGCCTGTCCCACGAACCTGGTGAACACTCCAATAACAATGTTCCTCCACGCAAATGAAACAATATTAAAGATTGCGTGGACTGGAACAATTTCGGAGATTCAAGAATGGACACTTTTTATTGAAATATAGTTATCTCAGGCAACTGTGGAATAAATTAAACTGTGAGAAAACTATCCAGTAAAAATACGAAACATTTTTTCCATCAGAACCTCTAGGCTTCATCTACAATTTTTAGTGGAGAAAAGTGACTTTTCTACCGACCTTGAATTCCTAAAATTAAAAAATCATCATAAATTATGGGAAATTATGAATTCAGAGTTCATAATTTTTTTCAATTCAGGCGAATGCAATGCCGCTTGAAAATTACCAATCTACCTATTAAATTTCAATTGTTCCCCATAATAACGAGGAATATAACACTTATAAAATCAGTTATTTTGTATGAAGTTTCTTGAGGGCTTATGTATTCGGTTTGAACAGTAAAGTTTCTCGATCCATGGCATTAACCCACGTATATATCCAACATAAAGGTGTCAGTCAGTAGAGGTTTGACTTGTAGTCATGCGGGTGTAGAATTATTGACCACATGTACATTTACCTATGCCTTCACGGCAAACGCGCACAGCACACAGTCACAAGTGGTCATGAAATACATAGAGGAGGTCAACTATCAGATCTACTTAGGGTAATTGCAGAAATTGGGAAATTGGATAGACCTTGGTAACCTTATGATAATGAACCACTCGAGCGCCTCACTCTATTGAGTCATAGTCAATTTGTTTATCTTCATGTTCTTCAAAGTCATTCAACAACTGCCCAGTGCAAATGTTTGTTCTTGATGTATTTACAAAAACATTTCATGTCCTTCTCCTAATCAACCACTTTGTTAATTGAATTACATCCGAGATGTTTAAAAGATTTTATGGATCCAATAAAATTCAAAATGATAAACATTATAAAAGGTTAATATTATGAGGTTTAAACATATGCTTTGAACAAAATAGTTATGAAATTCGAAAAAGAAATGAGGTTTTCAATCTCAATTTCAAACTCCTCCAATTATATTGTGCCAATTATTCAGTCACCAACAAAAATAAAAAATCGTTATGTTTTCATTGTGCTAAATAATAGAAAAAAATGAATACTTCACAGAAGGAAACATCGCAGAATGCGGAGGAGAGGCAATTTGAGTTGAGTAGTTCAGCGGAGACTGAGCTGAGATTGAGAGAGCGAAGGAGATTATTAACGGAAAGATGTTCGGAAGCTGGTCTAGATCGTCCTGGAAATGATTCACTGCACAAGCCAAATGCCTGGGAATTTTTTGTCAACCGTGACTACCACCTCATCTGGTGCAACGTATTCAAAGCCGCTTCCACCTCGTGGATATACAACTTCAATAGACTGGCCGGGTAAGTCCAATTGAGCCAAGTAAACCTCTCCATTTAAAGATGAATAATTCACCGAAAGAGAATTGAGATTGAACGTTGAGTGCAGGTACAGTCCGCAGTTCTTAAAAGCCTCGAAGGCCGTTCCAGTGTCACTGGCTAGACAGAGATATCCCAGGCCAACGGCCGAAGAGCTTGCCAGGTATCTCAACGACTCGGTGAGCTTTCTCATTGTGAGACATCCATTTGAACGACTACTCAGTGCCTATCGTGACAAACTCGAGCAGAGTCTACCCAACACACTTCACAGCAAGCTTGGAGTGAGGATAATTAACCAGTACAGACCCAAAGTAAGTTGACTCTTTCATTAATTTGCCAAGTGCCTGAGGAACTCGTTGACCTCCTTCTTCAATATTTCAAATGCTTATCCCTGGAATTGTAGAATCCTAAGAACACAATGCGACAGGGGCCTCGGTATCCACTCTTTGAGGAATTTATCAGGTGGTTACTTTGCGAGTGGCGTGCTGGTAATGAACTGGATATGCACTGGACTCCAGTGTTGCAGTTCTGCACACCCTGTCAAGTTAGATTTGATGTAATTGCCAAGTTTGAGACGCTTCAGGTGAGTTGGCATTGTTACAGGGTCAGGAGAAACTAATGAATGAACTGCACCTGCAGTGGGTCAATTGATATTTTTCTTTTGCTCCAGGAAGATCAAAATTACCTCATAAAACACGTCCATCTGGAGCACATGATCCGCCCGGAGTGGAAGAACCCAGCCAAAGGTGCACAAACCAGGGATGTCATGAAATCTTACTTCATGCAATTATCCAGAAGTCAAATAGCTGATCTATATGACATGTTCAAGTGAGTAATTCACTTGCTTAATTCAGTGTCGCAGTGACTAATTAACTCTCTTACTCTGCAGGTATGACTTTGAACTCTTCGATTATTCACCGAATGAGTATCTGGCAATCGGCAGAGAAGAGCCCACTACTTTCGAGTGCAAAAATGCCAGGGTAACTTCAATCTAAATTAATCAAAAAAATTGCATCAGCGAACAACGAAGGAACGTTTATGACAATTCGAGTTTTCCAACCCACTCATTAAGCTTCTTCGCCTTGTTAGGACAACTATTTTCTCAATTATTCATTACGATCTTATGAATTGAGTGAATGAGTCGCACATATCGGACTTAATTTAAGTAGCTAGAATTTACAAATTGATCGCCCATGAGAATGGCGCAATTAGCATCAAAGACGCTCTGTGAATGCACAAATAAATCCGTAAAATTAATCCTTTTAAGTACTAGATTGTTCGTCTCATTGCATTTTCTATAGCAATTATTTTTTTCATCAGTCAAGGAAAAAGTCAGTCAGATCCTTACCGTGACCTTGAATTACATTCAGTTTTATGAAATCAACATACAGCATGGATTTGGAGATTAACATCTACTCTGCTGATATTAAAATCATAAAACTCATTGGATATATTGCAATAGTGCCTCACGATCCATCAACGTATTATGTAATTTAATAAGAGATGGCCTAATTTAATTACAAGAGTTGTAATCCCACTGTATTAACAATTCAAAAATGGAACTAAACCAATGTTACTTGAATTTTTTAGATGAACTAAAACCTAGACGTTTCGACGGTGAGGAGAATTAAGAGAGCGACCAAATAAGAATGATTATAAATCGATATTTAGGTGTTAATCAATTTAATGTCGAGCTAGCAGCTAATTAACGTAATAATGAAGAATTGTTATTCAGTTGTAAATATGTACATGTAAGGATACTTTAAAAAAATATATGTTTTACATTAGAAAAGTAAAAAAGAGCCTCCATTATTTTTCTGGCAGTAATGACAGGAAGTTGTGAGTACAAGGACGAATGCAAAGAAAGCAAAGCCTTGCAATTATGGAAGAAGTAATTGACATGTGCATACGTTGTTATTATACAAGGCCACATAATTATGACTTCCCAAATCGTTTTTTTTTACGTTCTGTCGTGACTCAGAATGACAAATTGCTATTTTTGAGAGTAAACAGGAGAATTGTGAATAGTCTGTCGAGCAACGAATTTAAGAATAACTATAAATATTAACCTAACACCCCATAATTTGAGATTATTAATATTTCCGGAGGGATAATTACAAGAATTATTGACCATTGGCATGAATATCGGTACAAAGATTTTTCTTTTTCCTTATTATTATCAGTCCCATCAATGCAAAAACTAGACCGATAAAATTATGAAAGGTATGCAGTGAACTGGATAAAAAAAAATATAAACTTCGCATTGTTATGCAATTGGCTATTGTGGATTGGGGTACAATATTTTTCCTCTTTTGTTATCACTTGATACTCGTGGGCACTTAAACAGTATTCGCTGCAGTATGTCGTGTGAAGTGGAACATTCGTAACGTCATCAGGATATTTCCACGATTATTGAGGACAATATGACGCTGAATGGAGATCTGTTGCTGAAGGGCAGTCTTCGGAGATTTTATCAGCTCGGGACGATCAAGACGATTGCATTTATCATGGGAATAATTTTCCTGATGATCTTGGTTGTTTATAATTACATCTCCATTACTAGTGAACATTTGAATGAGTTAAGTGAGGTGAGTTGGAGGGAAACAAGTTCTCAAACAAGTTTTGTTTTGTTCAACGAAAGTCGTACCTTGATCGTTCAAAATTGTTCAACTTTTTATTTATTATGCTTCTAAGTGTTTAAAGTGTTCTAAGTCGTTTGTCTCAAAAGGCAAACGATTAACGCGAAATTTGGCAATCTCAGATAATATCCCTCATGACGTGAAGTGGAAAGACAAATATTTTTTCTCTGAGTTACCGGATTCCTCTCGGAATTATTATTTTGTTTACAGTGTACGAAGGATTTATTTACATGTAACGAACAGATCCCGTTAATGTTTCAAGGTCCATTTGAGAATGAGGATACAGCTGAGTCTTAAATACAGACAAGACTTGTTTGAGAATACTAATAACAGAATTGTAATAATTTTGGTAAACAGTATCAGGTGCTTGCGCCGACGAAATCAGCAATGATAGCGACAATTCCAACAATTAATTACAAATTGGACGGAAAAGAGCAGCTCGAAGCTGAATTTCTGAGAAGAGGAGATCATGTCAGAGAAAAATGTAAAGAGTTGGGGCTCATCAGGAGGCAATATTATATACCCAGGCCAAATGCCCAAGAGTTTTTCATCAACTATGACTATCATATTATTTACTGTAGTGTTTTCAAGGCTGCTTCGACTTCGTGGTTGTACAATATGAACTTGTTAGCGGGGTAATTCAGATTTTATTGTTATATTGGATGTGCTCTCAACTTTTCATAAGGCCAGGTTTATTTCTTTTCTAGTGTTGCTCCAGAGACTTTAAAAAGAATTCTGGAAACGGTATCTCCCATGACGGTGGCGAGGAGAAAATACGCGAGACCTTTGCCCTCAGAACTTCTTAAAGCTCTCACGAAGAATCTCAGTTTCTTAATCGTTAGACATCCTTTTGAGCGGTTAATCAGGACTTATGAGGATAAATTCATTTTAGAAGGGGATGACAAGTTCTATCAAGAAATGGGAGAGAAGATAATATGGAGAACGAGATTACAGGTAAGCATAATCGAAAAATTATGTCGATGTGGCATTCGGCGATAATTTTTCATAGCCATTTGGGTAGGACGATTTTTCGCTGCTGAGAGATGGAACGATCAATCAGACGTACCTACCACCCTCGTTCGAGGAGCTCGTCAAGTTTACGCTCTGCGAGTGGAAAGATAATAAACTCCAGGATGAACACTGGAAACCTATTACGAAATTCTGCACTCCGTGTCATGTACCTTTTGATTACATCATCAAGTTTGAAACACTTGAGGTATGTTAGAGTGATTGGAAAATGTTATGGCGAGATCTAATGTTTGTAGCAATTGATGGTTTAAAGGCATTTGTGCGATCGATTAGAGAATATTCAATCATGACATTTCGCAGTTTTGAAAATATTTCAAGGTTTTGTAAAAATCATTATTTGCAGAAGGGAAATTATTTTCTGGTATATAATACAAAGTGGAAAAAACCAATTTCGCGTTGAAAACTGATTGATAGCACGGATTGTAATATTTACAAATATCCGGTTTTTAATTTTTAATGGTTTAATAAGAGTTCACTTTAAAGAACTTCAAAAAAATTTTAAAAATTTTCTGAGTCCAAGTGTGAGGAAACATTCGAAAGACAGAAATTTGTCAAAATAAATACCAAAATTTGACTATTAATTTTCAGAAGGAAGAGCAGGTACTCATAGAACGTGCAAACCTTCAAGAAGTTTTAAAACCCAGATGGGAAGATGATACGTCAGATGAAAAAATCGAAGTGTTAGAGCAAAAATATTTCTCCACACTCTCGAAACAACAAATTCTCGAGCTCTACAAGTACTACAAGTGAGAAATTAAATGAATTGAATTATTGCTAGAAGTTCTCTGAAGCAAACATGCAGTCACAATTGAAGGAATTTATATTAGTTATTATTATCATAAATTAGGGAAGATGTGAAAAATTTTGATGTGTGAAAATATTCTGGAGATATTTATCCACAGTAATTAGCCAATTTCACAAAACTTGACAGAATCTGTCGACGTTCTTTGTAAACTTCTAAGTTGTGACTGCAAAATCACCAAAGAATTGTCCTGAGACTCATGATTTAGAGCTGAATGATGCCTGAGAATCATGTCATGATTTACAGCTGAAGTAATCTACAAAATCCTGGAGCCATTTAAGCCCCAAAAATTTTCCCTTTTTCCAAACTGTCAATATATGCATGTGTGGGATACTTCAGCTGATAATTCCACTTCAACGTAAATTTTAGGGCTGATTTCGAGCTGTTCGAATATTCAATGGACAAGTATCTGGCGTACGGACAGGACGTGCCCTTCGTGTCTCTCCCCTGTCGACCATTGCCCCGCTTAAGAACACGAAAATAGGACTAACCTAGTCGACGTATTCTGAAGATCAACACCAATGACCCATTTGTCATCCACTACTCGCTGCCATACTCCAGAGACAATCAGGGCAGGTGGACCTACACTTTTCTTCCTTTTCTGACGTTTCAGTACAGGCACACCAGCCTCATCGTAACGCTGAATCAGAAATCAAATAAATGAGGTTATGACATGAATGTTGTTGATTACATCCTTACCTCGGAATCGGTGTCAGTGCCAGAGCTGTCAGCGTCATAGTACATAGCCTTTTTATGAAGTTTTTCGAGGATTTTATCAGTGACCAACTTGATTTCATCGTTCTGCCTCTTTCCACGTTCAATCTGTTCCTCCACCTCGGTCAGCTGTTTTATCAAGTTCTCATCTACAGGATTATACACCTGGGGAATCTCGATTATCTCGTCCTCCTCTTCGTCCAAGGCGAATACATCTTCATCGTCGGTTTCCATCAGGAAGAATTATGTTCTCAGGAGTTGATGGTGAATATCAATAATGCCATGATTCGTTTTGATTTGACAGATTGCGTCCTAAGAGGCGCTAAATATCATGTGAGCTCTCGCAACAGGTGTGTGGAACTGCTATGTATCACAAGAAATCAAAATCTATCAAGATCACGGGCAAAGAGGATTGATTGGTTTCCACAGGAATGTTTCACAGCGGTGGCGCGTGAACTAATTATGTGAATAAAAAAGATCCCTTTGAAGATGTGATCACTCGAGGATGGAAGCAGATAGTCATTTTGAGAGACTATGTCCGATCGTCGATAACTGAAAAATTCAGGCTGTAAATTAAGTTGTACCCTGTATATACGACCGATTTTTTTCCAAATTTTTTATCAAATGTGTCTAGGCAGTGTAGGAATGGAATGAAAGAGGAGAAAAATGGTACCTGATGTTATCGGAATTCCGAAATATTACGAATCACGGCATTTAGAAGTGCAAAATTTCAAGAAATAACCAATCACTCTCCGTAAATCGATCATAAGGATTTCAGCAGCAAAAATAGCAGAAGAGAATGCCTGATGAAAGAATGGAAGAATGAGAATGCATCTGTCACATCAATTGCGTCACTTCCGTTCCGATTTTCGTGACGATTTTTCATTTTACGACCGCCATCAAAGAAGTCACTTCACTTCAAAAATTCAAAGATTTTACATACGTTAGCGGCGAAATAGACATTAAATATAACACCAGGAAGATATGGACGGAACCGGTTTCCAAAAAATCGCTGGCAGAACCTGTTGTCTCTTTGCGCAGTATAAGCAGCTCATAAAAGTGTGTTTTGATCCTAATATATCGAAAGATAGATGACGTTATTGTGGAATATATCATGAGCATCGACGAATCGGAGTGATCGCACTACATCATCAGTACGATACCAGAAATATAATTCGAGCAATATGAATCATTGGACAGCAAATTCATAATTAAGAATCGACGCTCTCTTCATTTTTCCTACACCTTTTTCCTATTTGATGGGTACAATTGTACATTGCAATCAGTTAAGTGCGTGTTGATAGTTGCTGATTAAAAAACCAGTACAACCCAATCATGACATCTCCACAATGCAATTCCATTAGAGCCTATTATACCAACGTCAATCGATTCAAGCCACTTCCCAATGGAGTACTCTTTCCAATTTACCCCTTTCATACCCCTGCGATGAATTAAAAAAATTAATGATGTAAAAAAATACGTGAAATTGATGGATTGAGCATCGTCATGGCAACACGAACTGCAACATAAAAATTATAGAGTCACGGCGATGTGAATTGCAATTGTGACTCTGCAAAAGCAAGTTCACTCGCCTTTCCCCTCTTTTTTCCACATTCATCCTTTCTTCTCAGGTGAGAACATGGGTACATCCGGTGAGAAGAGTGAAAAAAGGTGGGAACTCTTTCGTGCGAGTAATTACCTGTCTCTGATGTGGCCGTGCTTTGAATTATCGAGAATCTACGGTTTGTTTCCATACAAGTTCAACAGCAAAGGTGTCATTGTGCCATCGAAGTATGGATGGATATACGCGACGTTCATTTCGATAGTGAATACGATTTTCATCGGCGTCATTCTGTATCTGATGGACATCTCGAAGGATCTAGCTTTTGACTCGGTTCCGGGGACTCTTCAAGGCAATTGCTACCTCTTGCTGGCATGGTGGGTGGCAGTTGTCTCCTATCTTCTACATTCCAAAAGAATGCGAATGCTGCGGAACTTCGCCAGTGTATCTGCCAACTTGTCTGCATCATCATTCAAACGTTTATCGAGAATTATCCATGGGAAAGATATCATTGGGTTCCTCTTCCTCATGATACAAGCAACGAATCTCTACTCCTCGAGACTTGATCTGGCTACTAGCAAAGTTGTCAGCATGTATGCAACCCTTCTTGTATTCTTCATGGATATGCTTTATGCTGATTGCGTTCTGGTGATCGGCGAGTGCTTCAAAAACATCAACGAGAAGTTACTGACGCTAAAAATGAATATGGAGAAGGATCAGCCTCATCTGCTCAGGAGGGTATACCATGAGAAACATAATCCTTTGATTCTGATGGAGATTCGGGGCATAAAGAGTCAACATAATGATGTCAGTGAACTCGTTCACTGTCTCAATCAGACTTTCAGTCTTCAGCTTGTCGCATCAGTCACGATGACGTTTGCTGAAGTGACTTTCTCCTTGTACTTTTATATTCTGCAGTGCCTTGGGAAGACTGGGATCAATATGGAAAAACAGATATGGTACTCCTATTTCAGCACTTCAGTTACTTATTATGCTTGGAAGTTGGTTGTTATTGTGTGGGCATGTGAGATGTCTAAAGATCAAGCTGTCAAGACGGGGATTATTGTCCATGAGGTGCTTATTGACACGGTCGACAAGCAAGTGAAAGAAGAGGTGAATATTGGAAATTTGTTGAAAAAAAAAGCGGGTAACGTTTTCTTCCACCGATTCTGAATTCAATGATGGAATTTTCTAATTACAGCTGCAGTTGTTCTCGCTGCAAGTGCTCCATCGTGACAACACCTTCACGGCCCGAGGTCTCACTCTGGATGCAACACTTCTGACATCGGTATACAACCGGAATTAATTCCATCTCCTTTCTTCTCAACACCCATTGTCTGCCTTTCCATCCAATCTCGGGGGCACAATAGCCACAGAGTTAATGATTTTTGTTGTAATTTTGTCTCAGGTCGTTGGGGGCATTACTACTTATCTCCTCATCCTCATACAATTCATGGTATCTTCCAAGTCCTGTGGCTCGGCGATGGACCCAACATCTCCGCCCCGAACATGAACTTCCAATAAACTTCCACGGGAATTAGTCATTTTGATTAATTAGTTGGGGCTTAGCCGCACGTAGTGCATCTACCTCTAGTCTTTTTTTCACAATCCAGGTGTAACGCCAAGCTTTTTTTATTATTATTGACAATTTCATGAAATTTTATTAACTGAACCTAACATAGTAAAACCGAAAAAAGTAGAATATATTGAGTATATTGTTACATAACGTATTTAGGGAAATAAAGGTGACTGAACCCTCTTCATTTTTATCAAATAAACTTTTCTCTTCTCGTATACCTTTTTTGGCTTTTACGATTTGTTCCCTTACCACACTCCATTCTCCTGTACCGCAGTTACAGAAAGGGAAGGAAATAAATTGATTAGTCACCGATGATTAATTGAATATTTGTTTAATGATGTGTTTCGTGAAAAAGTAGAAAAAATTAATGGTGAGAGGGGGTCCAGCTTAGTTCCCCCCCTTCTAAATATCAAATATTGTTTTTTTTGTTTGAGAATTTTTGAAAATATTCACGTCATTAATTTTTCTTTGATTTAAAATTGAGCGAATAAATCCCATCGATTTCACGCTTCTTCACACGGCTTTATCGACCGAATATGATGTCCATGTTTCAAGTTTCGTAATTTAACTAAATCAGCAATTCATTCAATGCACTCGTGCATTGACCGACTTCCAACTATTCCATATTTCCAAATTAAACATTAGTCGCGTCCTAGCTTCATCAAGGAAAGTACCAAGAAGAGAACTCTCCAAAATTGTCTGATACTTGATTCCAGAATCAGTTACATTCCCTCTACCCAGTGCTTATCATTCATCCGAGTATTTCGGGATTATTATTAATCACAATTACACACAACTTCGTAGTGATTAATCCCACATTATTATTAATATTTTATTTCCGCATCCGGCAAACGAGGTGCCGTTCTTACTAAGTTGGTTATAAGATTGTAATGTTCGTGCAGAGACGAAATCATTAGTCAATTGTCAAACTGTTAACCTATTGTTAATCAAATATCCGTATCGTGAAAGAGACAGAATTATATTATTGTTAAAACGAGTATGTGTATGTGTGAAGAGCATTGTCAATTGTAAATAGTATTTTATTTTTTTGACCATTATTCTCTTCGATGAAGTTGAGGATCATTAAACATCGTTTTTCCTCTTAAATTCTCTTTCTTTCATATTAATTCCCAAATCCTGAAGGTTCAGTAAAAAGTGCAGGCCTGCCTAGCACTTTAAAATGTAATAGTATCCGCTGAATAAAAATATCATTTTGTGGCTCCTAGGGCAAACTATAATTATTTATAATAATAAATAAACATCAACTCGCTCGAGCACCACAATAATTTTTTTTACATGTGCTCTTCAAAAATGGTGGAAAAATGTTTTTTCAGAGCTAAAGAGATGCAACTCTTAGTGATGGATGAGGGTGACAGCAACAAGGGCATTAACTGGAATATTGACGGTAATGAATCAAAAAAATCTACCGGAACGACGGAAACAGTTGGGATTGCCCCTCCATAGGAGTCCCTCGCTTGTCCGACTCATGTTGTACTCGATTCACTCTCGAGTTTCATCACTTCGACTCTGGCCTGTTGTTGTCAGTCGAGCGTTAGCCTTCGTGCGCATAATATGTGTGTGCGTCATTTAACCTCTTAGAACTGTCAACAAATTGAGAACTGTCTATCAACTTCAAATCTTGTGAGTGAGGCCCGAAGTTTACAATTGACCTTCAATTGATAAGTCAAAGTGGTGTAACATTTTTTTGTCAACAGTGCTACCCCAAATTTGCCAATCCCTCGAATGTTTCATGACATTGAATGATGGAAAAGGGAAGAGGAAATGTCCTGGACAAATTTATTCGGAGTATTTCGTGTTTTCAATGGGTCATGGATAATAAGTGTTAAACAATTGGATGTCTGAGCGCAAAACTTGGATTGATTTCAACACTAGGTCATGAGGTAAGTGAAATCAGCTGATATTGCCTCACGACAGAATAAGAAAATTTTCCTGATCGTCAGTGATATTGACATTGAATTGCGTAGATTCGATTTAGCTATTTTGTACCCGAATACTGTATGCTTTATTTATTAATACTGCGCAGGTAATACGTATCTCGGTTTTATCGCTATTTTTTGTTGATTCTTGATACGTGTGGATGTCTTTTAAATATTTTTTCGGCCTCATGAAATTATATATTGAAATTGAAAATGCGTTAATGGTGATTTCACTAGATATTCATTAATTTACGAAAGATGCGGAGATTGAGGAGGATTGCGATAATTGACATCTGGTTTTTTATTCGATGCGAAATCATCATTTAGACTTTGATTTCGGTAATCTTCCATTGAGTCCGAAATATTCACTGGTCATTGATACAAAATATCAATAATTCGACACAAAGCAGTGATAAAAAAGTGTGGATAAATATTGAATAATATTATAAAAGATATACGAATATTCGTCGGAGGGCAGACAAACAGTTGGAACCAACTTCATCCATAAATATTTCCACAAATGCTACATACTATTGTCTCACTGAATGAGTTTTGACTCCAATGATTTCTATTTATACAGAGATAATGATTATTTGCCGACTTTATCCTTCACACAATCATGTGATTTATGTAATTATGAATTAATTATTTATTAATATAGTTAGGAATCGTTGGGGCATATGAGTAATCGCTCAAGGAGCTACTTAGAGTCAAATAGTCAATTCGTAAGTCCAGAAATCGAAGGAATAAGGAATTATTGATACTTTGTTTTTCTCCATTGTTCCACTTAACTGCTACCACCTGTTTTTTCGTTTATGCCCCGCATTTTAATCGTCCTCTTTCATGTTTCATACTCGCATAATCACTCAGATCAATCACCAGTTTTTCTTTCTTTAGTTATATTTGAGCGTGACTTGACAGTTTTGTTTTTGGGCTTCTGGGAGTTAAACAGTTACAGCACTGACAGGTGATAAGGCAACGAGAAACGGAAGTCGATGTCTTATTGATGGGCAGTAATTATTTTTTTTTGGGATATTCTTTTTTAATTATCGAAAAAATTGACCTTATGTGCGTCAACACAGTGATACAGATTGAGAAGGGATTGAATTATATCGACTTATACATTGATATGTTTTTAAGAGAAATTTTCTATGCTATGATTACCGATTACATTATTTAAATAATTATTATTAAGATTCATGGAAAAGTTTATTGGATTATATGGAAATTCAGAGAAATTTGAAGTGAAACATTTGTAAAAATAATATAAAGTTGTTGCCCACCTTAAAATTTGCATGAGGGAAATTGATGCCATTATTTATCCAGCGAATCTAGAACTTTACCTCCGGGTTCTATCTGTCTCCTAAGGGTCAGCTTTCTGGTTAAGTTAACTATGGTTAACGCTTGGTTAAGTTAAAGTTAACTTGGGCCCAAGAACCCCAATGGGATGGAATTAAAGCAGATTAGATTACAGCCAATGGAAGTCATTAATGCATAATTAACTATCGGTATGCTAACTGTGGTTAACTTATAAGAAAATTGGCCCTAAAGGGCCAGAAGGCTAAACGGGAAAGAAACTTCGGGAGCCATTGAATAATTGAATGACAAAATACGAAAATGTTATATTTTTTCATACTAATCCCACGTATAGTTTGCCAGCAAAATAAAAAATGAACTGAAAAACGAAAAAATCTAAATATCTCGAAAAGTTTGTATGGGCGACTCTATATATTTTGATTGATAATGACAGGGGACATCGAGACAAAAATTTTCATATAAAAAAAAATGAATTCGGTCTAGTCAATTTTGAGATATTCCACATAATCATTTTACACTAAAAATTGAATATCTCCGGAACTAATCAGTCAATCCTACTCATTTTCAATACCATCCGTTGCAGTGATAAAAGGACAATCTCGTCAAAATTTAAAGTTGATATCTCGATTTTTGCGGGGGTGAGAGTGCGTACAACATTTTTTTTTCAAAAACATAAAAGCGACAATAACTATGATTTTTTCCAGAGTTCATTTTCAAATTTTTGATTGATTCCAATAGAGCCAATCATGGCGAAGAGAATGAAATAAAAAAAAACTGAATACCTTCATTAGTTTTGGAGATATTTCGAAAAAACGATTTATAAACAAATCACGATTTCTCAAAAACGGCTTGACCGATCTAGCCGAATTTTCATTCCATAGTTAGCCTCAACTCTTGCCTACTATTTGACAAAATTTCAAATTTTTTGGAATTTTTTTACCCACCTTTATCTTTTCTTAACTAAAAAATCACCCCTGGCCAGGGGGCACCACGCACAGACATTCTCAAAAACTTTTGTATTTTTACATTTCAGACCATTCTACATCGTTTCCAAGCAAAATTAGAATTTTTTTTTTCCGGTCGGGATCGGACGATTGCAATGCTTCCATTCGGAAGCAAAAACGCGAATTTTGGCTGGAAGGATGAAGGATGTGATGAAGGAAGAATGATAGAATTAATTAATGTGTGGGTCGGATTGGGCAATTAATGACCAGTTCAAAAGAAATCGATTTTTTATGATCTTCAGTGTTATTAGGCTGAAAATGCATTCCTCGAAAGTTTCATTCATAAAATGCTGTTATAAACGCTCAGCTAAACTGGTCGGATTGTCGAGGTCTTAGTCCGTAAATTCGACCGCCCATGGTTTTGCAGCCATGTCCTCTCATTGTTTAACAAACACCTATAAACTGATTTTCTCTTGGGATTTTCCTTCACCTGTTTACCTGATATCAGCCTAAGAAAGGCAAGAAACGGTCGACGTTGAAAATCCATTAGGAAGAATGCACTTCTAATGAAAAATATAACAAATAACTAACAATTATTTCAGTAATCATGAACTATCAAAATTGATTTTTGAATCTGTAGGAAATTAAATGTGTGACGATCCCTAGTCATAATTAAATTCCCAGAATTCAAATGGAATTTATAATAAAATCACGAATGATTATTTTTATTTATTTCCTTCCTGTATGGTTTTACACCTTTTACAATACAATATACAATTAAAAAAATCCGGGTAGATACCATCGTCACTTCCTTCCGCAAAAATTATTGAGTAAGAAAGCACTTAATAAATTAAGAAACATTTTAAAGACATCCCGAGAAATTTAAAAAAATTTTCGAGAAAATTTCCGATGGTCCCTCCATTGCCTCTGTACGCCATCAGGGCTTCTCCAAGCCCTATTCTTGCCTCGTATACATGCCGCGTCCATTTCCACAGGACCGCTTCCACTAGTATTCCTGCAAGTCCAACGGCAGTGCTTCCAATTTTCCCTTAACCCTAATTGCCTAAACCTTAATTGCCGCAGAATCCATCGGCATTTTCAAGTTCCCAGGTATAATTTCTGTGCCTACTGTGCCCCTTTCCACAGGACCACCGATAGTACTTTTTTGCCTCCCCATCCTCACCTGGAGCCCCTGCTTCCTCGGGGAGTGTTCTCCAGATCTGTGTGCGGCCGTTGTTGGTTCCTAAAGAGTTTCTTTTTGTCCAGCCTGCTTCCACTCTTTCCAGACGATTGCTCTGCATTGCGATGCCGAGAATTTTCCATGAGATGCAGGTTAAACCCGGGGCCTGAGGTTGGCAGTCTCGGTACCCTAACCTCACTTCCAGTACGTCCTTCAATTTGTGTCCGTTCCTCAGGACTATGTTATCTTATGCCGAGATAGCCCTGTTAGACCAGGCAAATGCCACCCCGCATATGATGAAGACTTTTTTCCGCAGCTTCACCCTGATATGCGTGAAAAACTTCGAAAAATTGGGGGACGTGGGAGTCGGTCCGTCTAGATGGTACGCCGATACCGGTCGAGCCCAAAAAATCACGAATGTTATTCTTTCATGAATAAATGGTTCCGCGAGAAGAATCATTGCACATGGCTGTTTTTCTGAAAAAAAAAAATTTGAAATGAAATTCCGGGTGTCTTCATGCTATATAAACAGTTAGATAAACGAGCGCCGCTGATTCGTGGAATACCGAAGTTACTTCACGGGAAATTTTACGCATGACGCATCGACTACCGTGACCTTGGGATTGACCCTTGATATTCTTTATCACGGGGTTTGTTTTTATAATTGATTTATCTTGAGATGAAAAGTAATTGGAGGATGAAAGAAATTGATAGCAGTGATAACCTACCTCAACCCTATGAGTGGTGACAACGAATGTCGGATGATAAATCTAAAGAAATTATTTTAGATTTTTAAAGTATTTGTGGAACGAAAAGTCGTTCAGGGGATCGACACGTGTTATTGCGTTGGTTATTAACCTCGATGAGTCATCCTTTTTGAGAATCTAATGGAATGAATTTTTCCGTACTGCTTCTCACGATTTCTCGTCTGAGAATTGGTGCTGCTCACGTTCCAAACTCGAAAACTTGAAAAACATTACAGAAAAATGTTATTCGGACTTTTGCAATGGTGTTTTTTTACTCGTGTCGTTTGCCAACAGTAAAAACCCCCATCCCAACAGTCCAGAAATATACTACCTATTCAATATTTGGTAGACATGAAATGCGGAGTATTTAAACTGAGGTTTTCCTCTTGGAATTACTCGACTTGTCAAAAATATGGGGGATGCTGGGGTAAAACAAACTACCTTTAAAAATCATTCCATTCTCTATATTTTCAACATTTTTCTATTTTTGAACAAATATAAACAGATAAATTAAACATTAAGTAATTAGTCGATTGATTGAATATCAAGTAGAATTTTCAAAAAAATAAAAAATAAATGAAAGTAATGTTGAAAGATGGCTAATAATACTGTATATCATTGAATTGAGCTAAAATTCCAATTGGCTGTGCTTCAACGATGCTTTTTTCCCTAAATTAATTACGTCGTGAACCAATTGGAAACGTGATTCTCAACAAGGGTCTCATAATTCGGTAGTGAAGTGGTCAACCAGGTCAAGTCGATTTAAATAAAAAATGG